GTCAGATCAGCTAGGAGCAGGCTCAGCTGGGAGCTGCCAGTCAGTGCTGGGAGCAGGCTCAACCCCACAGCTGAGGTTGGGGTGGCTGCCAAGGGGGTCTCACCACTGGGCTCTCTCTGGGCCAGTTCACCTTCCACTTCCAGACGCTGAAGGACGACTTTGAGCGGACAGTGATCGATGACAGCCGGGAGGCTGGCATGCCCATGGAGATCATCGTGGGCAAGATGTTCAAGCTGGAGATCTGGGAGACGCTGCTCAGCTCCATGAGGATCGGGGAGGTGGCAGAGTTCTGGTGCGACGCCATTGTGAGTGAGGGGCCCAGAGATGCCCACTTCCCTCCTTCCTGGAGAGCCAGGACACAGAGCCACGCATCCCAGAGATGCTCTGTCCATCTTTGGTGCAAACACAGTGTGCCTCAGCACTGGGGGGCTGCCCCAGCCAAGGGGCTGAGCAGGGTGCTCCCTCCTTGCAGCACACAGGCATGTACGCCCTGGTCTCCAGGGGCATGAGGAGGATCGCAGAGGGACGGGACCCCCTGGAGGGCCAGAAGCACCGCTGTGGCATGGGCAACATGTTTGACTACCACAGCACAGGATACGAGGACCTGGACGAGCTGCAGCGGACGCCTCAGCCTCTCATCTTCATCATGGAGCTGTTCCGGGTAAGGGGATGGTGGGGATGGCTGCCAGAGAAGGAACAGCTGGGACAGCCACTCAGCTTCTCCTGCTTGGGCAGGTGGAGGACCCCTCAGCATACAAACGTGACACCTGGGCCATGAGCAAGGAGGAGAAGCTGGCAGCGGTGCCCGTGCTGCACAGCGAGGGCAACCGGCTGGTGCTGCGCAGGGAGTTCGCGCAGGCAGCCGCCAAGTACCAGGAGGCTGTCATCTGCCTCAGGAACCTGCAGGCCAAGGTGAGCAGCACCACCACCTCCCACCCCTGCCTGGGCCACACCTCAGAGCGTGCCCTGGGTGCTGGGAGGGGCTGGACACAGCCCTGAGCTGCCCTGGGTTGCTCGTGGGCAGGAGAAGCCGTGGGAGGATGGCTGGCTGAAGCTGGAGAGCCTGGTCACTCCACTGGTGCTCAACTACTGCCAGTGCCAGCTGGAGCTCGGCGAGTACTACGAGGTGCTGGAGCACACCACGGAGCTCCTGCAGAAACACAACGGTACCTGTGCCCTGTGTCCCACCCTGCTGTGCCCGTGGCTCCCAGGGCCTCCATGCTCTGAATCCCCCAGCTGTGACAATGCTCATCCTGTGTCCTGTGATAGTGCCTGTGCCATCTGGATCCCTGTGTCTGCCCCATCCACCACCATCCTTCCCCTTCCCATGATGATCCCTGCACTCCCTATGCATAGCCCAGTCTCCCTGCCTTCCCTACAAGTGCGTCCATCCCACACCCCACATGCTTGACATCCCCTGCTCCCCAGGCTCTCCAGCTCCCGTGGCTGGTGGTCCTGAGCTGCAGGACACCCACTGAGGGCTCTTCTCTCCTGGCAGACAATGCCAAGGCCTATTTCAAGCGTGCAAAGGCCCACGCTGCTGTCTGGAACGAGAGGGAGGCGCGGGAGGACTTCCAGCGCGTGGCTCACCTCGACCCCTCCATGGCGGCCGCCGTGAAGAAGGAGCTGAAGCAGCTGGGGGAGAGGATGAGGAAGAAGCACGTGGAGGATCGGAAACGCTACCAGGGCCTCTTCCAGTCAGGCCAGGGCCTGAAGGGCCGTGAGGGGCGGGAGAGCAGGGAGGTGGGCGATGGGGCACCTCAGGGGGAGGCTGGGGACCAGGAGAGACATGGGCAGGGGGAGCAGGGTGCTGGGACTGGGGTCACAGAACAGCCCAGGGCTCCCCAGGCTGAACCAGGGACCCCCAGGGCTGCGGGTGAAGGGGCAGCACCAGCAGGAGAAGAAGCCCGGGGAGAGCCTGTAGGAGAAGAGGTGGAAGGGAGGGATCACACAGCAGTGGGGAAGGAAGAAAACCTGGGCACCTGCAGGGCAAAGCCAGAGAGCCTGGAAGTAGAGGAGGAAGAAGAGAAAGAGGAGGAGAGGGAAGAGGAGAAGAAAGAGGAAGAAAAAGAGGAGAGCAAAGAGGTAGAGAAAGGGGCAGAGGAAGAAGATGGAAAATTGGAGGAGGAGAAGGAAGAAAAGGAAGACAAAGTGGAGGGGGAAGAGAAGGTGGAGAGGAGAGCAGAGAAAGATGAGAAATTAAAAGAGGGTGAAGAAGTAGAGAAGGAAGAAGAAAATGAAGGAAAAGAGAGGGAGAAGGAGGCAGTAGTGAAAGGGAAAGAGGAGAAGGACAAAGAGAAAGAGTGTCTACCAGCAAAAATGGAACAGCCTGAAGCAGGGCAATGTGGGACAACAGGGGAGACAAAGGCAGCAGGGCTGCTGCAGGGGTTGGAGCAAGGAGCCAGCAGAGCAGAGGGAGCTGGCACAGGCAGTGAGGCCCAGGCTCAGCCAAAACCAGCTCCACATCTGGAGCCTCCCAGCGAGGGGCTGGGACCAGCTGAGGGGGCCCCAGGGCTGGAGGATAAAACATCTGTGGAGGCTCTGGAAGAGGTGAGCTGCAGGGAGCTGCAGGGAGCAGGCACTGGACAAGGAAATACTGGGGAAGGCAACATCCCCCCAGAGAGCTCCACCCCTGGGGAAGGTGAGGAGCTGGGTGGAGGGGCAGAAATACCCCCTAAGGGGCAGAAATGCCCCTTAGCAGCCAGAGAAGGGGGTGCTGCACCCCTGGAGCAGTGCAGCAAAGAGCAGGGCAGTGCCCAGCCCTGAGCAGGGTCAGTTCTCCTGCTTGGGGAGCAGCTGCCAGGGCACTGACAAAGAGGCACAGCACGGGCAGCAGGGCTCCTGTGCCCGGAGGGGGAGCCCCGGGGCTGGGGCTGGCCCAGCAGGGACACGGGGACAATGCTGTCCTCACCCTGCCCTGCACTGCCTGCCCGACTCACCGGCTCCAGCCCTTTCAGCTGGGTGCCACCGAGCTCTGCTGGCTGAGAAATAAAAGCTCTTCCCTGGCACCACGGGCTGGATTTGTTCCTGAGCGTGAGCAGCTTCCCTGAGCACATCCCACAGCTCTGCCTTGCCCTGAGCCCGTGGCACAGGGATGGGGCAGCTTGTGGTGGTCAAGGAGGCTGCATTTCACCCCCCTTAAGCTCCTGGATCTCTCCTGTGTGAGTGTCCCCAAATTTCCCTGCAGGGCACCGTGTCAGGCCTTTCCCAGCACTGCCAGGCAGGGTGAGAGCCCAAGAATTGTCTGTCCTGGGCAGGCTTCACCATCAGCCAAGTCTGGGCAGGGCAGAGAGCCCGAGAGCCCCTGGCCTTACCCTGAACTTCTCTGAATCCCTACTGTGCCACAAAGGCACAGCAAACACAGGCAGCACTTGGGACACCCAGACACCTCTGGGCACTGAAAACTTGATGGAGCTGCAGGGAGAAAGGAGGGAGAGGACTGCCTTGCCCACCCAGCATCCCACTGCTGTCTGCAGCCTGTCGGGGGCTGAAGGGTTTCCTCAAGCCAAAGGTCCTGGGGCAATGAGGGACTGTCCCCACACAGCCCCTGCCCCAGCCCTCAGCAGCCACATGGCCTGCACAGACCTTGCTGGACAGGATGAAGATGGTGGCTGGGGGTTGGACACACCTGTGCCTGGGGATCCTGGGGATCCTGGGGCTCTGCTCACAGCTCCTGCTGAGCCTCAGGTGGTGGGGACAGCCAGGGGGACAGTGCAGGCTGTGTCCCAGCAGCCCTGCAGGAGCAGAGCCAGCACGGCACGTGGACAGAAGAGCCAGAGCACTGATCCAGGCATCAGTATAAATACAAATTTATTCTCTTTCCAGAGCAGAGATGCCACAAAGCAGTGAGGACAGCAGCACCACAGTACATGGTTACCAGAGCATTAGCCAGCCTGCTCCCCTCCCTGACACCTCCTGGCTCCCAAACACAGCCCAAGCACCAACCTGGCCACCTCTGCTCCCCACACCTGCCACTGGGGCCAGCAGCTCTGTCCTCATCCTGCCCTTTTTCTTCCTCCAGTGCCCCCCAAGGCTGGATACTCCTGTGCACACCCTCAGGCCCAGCCTCACTCTGCTGCTCCCCACGCTGCTGCCATCCTGCCCCTGGGATAACAGAGGGGGCCAGCGGGGTCTCACAGGCTGGCCCGGGGTCCCTGTCACCCACAGCCTGACACAGCATGCCCAAAGCCACCTAATGCCACCACACTGCCCTCCTGCCACTCAGCTGGGACACAGGGGCACAGCAAGGACAGCCACCCATGCTGTGCCAGTGACACAGGAGCACTCCATGCTGCACAGGCCTGGCTGAAGGGCTCACACTGCCTTGTCCTGGGGTGGGCACTGCTGCTCACCTCTGCCAGCAGCCCAGAGCCGAGACCACAGACCTGCTCACAACCTCCCCAGACAGTTCAGCACCGTGTCCTGTCCCAGCCAGCAACACCAGCCCTGGCTGTGTCCTTGCAAGCCCTGTTAAATGGGATGTTCCTCCCCTGTGTGCAGCCCTGCCCTGCCCCGAGGGCTCAAGCCTCTCATCTCTCCACACCCTGTGGCTCCAGAGCACCGGGGCCATGTCAGCCCCTGCTCTGGGTGACCCTGCAGCACCTGACTCTGCCTCTTTCTCGACATAACAAAGCACAAATCAGCCAGCCCAAGGGACCCCAGGAGCCACCAGGCCTGAGCTGCCCTGCCAGCTGGCACTGCAGCCTCCCTGCACTGCCCCATAGGGCCTGCAGCCAGGGGTCCCTGCCTGCCCTGCTGCCCACCCACACTTGCATCACACCACGGTGGCCCCAGGGCTGGAGAAACCCTCCCTGCAGGAGCTGCCAGGCACGGAGCTGGGGCTGTGCAGGACTCTGCCATGGCAAAGGCACAGATGCCCAGGACACCAGGCAGGGTGAAGAACCTGCTGTGGGTGCAGCCCTCACTGAGCTCCCTCACTGCAGCCCTGCAAGGCAATCCCAGCAACAGGGAAAGGTGCTGGTGCCCCTGGGAGCAGGAGTTGGGCTGGTCTGAAAGCGAAGGGCAGCTACACTTAAGGTATTAGAGTTTAATAGAGTGAGTCCATGAGAGTATTTAAGTACAGTATATATATATATAATATATAGAAATATATGCAAATTAAACAATAAGGCTCTGTTATAAAGACCCTCTCAAATAAGGCTACTAGCTGGGCTGAAGCTCTAACATGGACTCAATCCCTACTCCATAAACCTCACAAACTCTCTCCTGGTGGTGTGTGCCTGGCTGGCTGCAGAGCCTTGGGTGGCAGAACTCAAACCATAAGGCTGGCAGCTGGTCACTGTTAGAAAGAGTTATTCTAAAAATTGTGTGGCTCCAGGAGTGTTTTGGTGCCCATAGACCTGGAGGCTCCTGGGCAGGGATGAAGAGTGGGATGCTGAGCTCTGCATCCCCTGAGGGTGCCAGGGGAGACTGGCAGTTTTCATGGCTTCAGTTCTTCTGAACCATCCCACCCAGGCTTGGACACTGTGGCCAGTGACCCAACCAGCCTCCTGGGGAGCCCACAGTCCCACTCCTGCATGGCCTCTGTTCCCCTGAGATCTTCTGGAGCTGGCAAGCATCCTGCACCAGCAGCTCGGAGGGAGTCTGTGTGAGGTCTGCTGCAGCACAGGGAGCATGGCAGGGAGAGAGGGGAGGAAAGCAGCCAGGTAGCTGGTTAGGAAAAGCCTCTGGCTCACAGGAGGTGTTAGATAAGGGAGGTCATACCTGAAAGAGAAATAGACAGGTCAGGAAAACAGGACCCAGAGCCAGCTGGTTAGAAGGAGGCTGCTGCAGAGCCAGGAGGGTCCTGCTCAGGGATGGCAGAAAGTGGGCAAGGGTCTGCATGGGCAGAGCACCACCTCATGTTAGTGCTGGCACCAAGCAATGGCTCCCTCTGGCAGCCTGGGCAAGAGACCAAGTGCTGCCCCTGCACTGGAGCACAGAGGGAAGGAGCAGAATGACCAAAACCAAAACCCACACGTGCCCCAGTCCCCATCCCTGCTGGGAAGAGCCATCCCCGAGCAGCCAGGAGAGCCTGCACCATTGCTTCCATCTCACCAGGCTCCTGGGGCCTCGACCTCTCCTGCAGAGGGGTCTGACAGGGATGAAGGCAGGAGGGGGCTCAAAGCCGCCACTGCAGGTGGTGCTGGCAGTCTGTCCATCCTCACGGTGGGGTGCAGGTCCTGAGCAGGGCAGGAGGCTGCCCTGCAGCTCATCACAGGGATCTGTTTGGTCTGTGCTCTTGGCAGCTCTCATGGCCTCACCTTGCAGGTGTGAAGCCTCCTCCTCCTCCTCCTCCATTCCCAGGCCACACACCCATCCCAGCAGCACTGCAGCAGCAAAGCTCTTGGCTGAAGCACTGCAGGTCATCAGCTGTTGCAGGGAAGCTGGGATTGGGGCAGGGCTCTGTGGAAAGCCTCACCTGAGGGAGCAGTGAGAAGTGAGAGAGGAGGATTTCACTCAAGTACCTCGGGAGCTGGGGAAGGCGCTCCGCAGCTTCTCCATGATGTCTTCCAGGCACATGCTGACCTCCTGGGTCTTGGCTTCCACCTCATCTGCAGTGGCAAGGAGGGCAGGGGGGTAGGAAAAGGCTCTCTGGACACACACCTGGCTGCCAGCATCTCTGCAGGATGGCAGGGTGCAGGAACAAGGCAGCAGGGCCAGGAGCTCAGCCCAAGCTCACAGCTCACCTGCAGTTTCAGTGTCAGGGGTGTTGTGCTCTTTCTCCTTTGCCTGGCTGCCTTCTGACTGATGTGGAGATGAAGCCAAGGAGGAGGCTGCTGAACCATTGCCTTCTGACTCTGCTGGAGGCTGGAATGAGAAGAGTTGTTGTGAGAAGGTTGTCATGACCCTCTGCCCTTGGCTTCCCTTTCTCCGCCCATCCCCTTTATGCCACTGTCCCAGCTCTGCTGTGGCAAAGCCCACCCCATCCCTGCTCTGAGCACACCTGCAGCAGCAGCTCCCTCAGCCTGTGCAGCTGGGATTCCAGCTGCTTGTTGTGGTCCTCCAGGATCTGCATCCGTGTCTCCAGGCGGCTCTTGTGCTGCCGGAGGATCCGCGCCTCTGCCAGCAGCTCCTCGTTCCGTGGGTCCTGCACTGACTCGGGAGAGCCTGAGGCCAAGGTTGGGGACTCCACTGCCTCATCATGCTGCCACTTCAAACGTCTCAGCTCTCCCTGGAGGATCCTGCAGGACAGCCCAGGTCAGCATCCCCTCAATCCTGCCTGGAAACCCCTGGGAGCTGCACATCAGACAAAGCTTTGCCATTTGTGATGCTGCACTGCAGGGTGGCCTGTGTGTGGTTCTACCCCACACAGGGGGTTCACAGACATGCAACCACTTCCTAAGAGGCTGAAACCAAGGGCAGGGAAAGCATCACCTCCCCCTGAGCTGGTGTGCCCTGCTTAGAGCCTCACCCTGGTCCAGAGCAGCAATACCACTGTTCATGAGGGGCTCAGGGACAAGAAAGACAGAGCGCCCTGGGCTCACTTCAACCTTTTTGGGGTTCAGGAGGGAACAGGTTCTCTGGATGTAGGAAGGGATGTTTTGGGGAACAGAGTCATCTCCCTTCATTGGAGAGCACACCCTCAGTGAGTTGTAGTGCTCAGCTGAGCCCTCCTCCAAACCTGCCCTCTCAGCACCTGCAATCCCCAGCTCCAGACCCAGCAGCATCCCCTGCCTCCACTCTGAGCTCTGCAAGGCTTCCCCAGTCCCTTCCTCCTCCCAAGCCATAACCCCCACTTTCAGAGCTGCCCATGCCTGTACCTGTTTTCATCCTCCAGGTGGGCCAGGACTCTCTCCAGCTCTCCCTTGTCATCCATGTTGAGGCCTGCTGGACCCTGCTGGCTGCCCCCAGGCTCTCTGTCTGTGATGGGGCTGGAGTGGCGCAGCAGGTACTGGTCCTCATCCCTGTTCCAGCAGGGGGAGAAACACCTCATTAGGAGAATCAGGGGATTTGTGTGCCCTCGGGGAAGGAGGCAGCTTCACGGGGGAGCTCCTGGCTGCTCCAGGCCTAGAGCTCAGAAGGGGCTCAGCATCCCTGATGTTTGTTGTTGGGAGATTGTGGTGTTTGTGAGGGTCTCCAGGACGAGGTGAGAGATGAGAATTTGACTCCATGTTCTCAGAAGGCTGATATGATATGATATTACATTTATTGTATTATATTTATTATAATATTATTCTATTCTATTATACTATATATTAACAAAAGAACGCTATACTAAAACTATACCAAAGAAATAGAGAAAAGAATACATCAGAAGGCTTAGCAAGAATGATAATGAAAGCTCATGACTGACTCCCCAGAGTCCAACACAGCTAGACTGTGATTGGTCATTAATTAAAAACAATTCACATGTTTAGATAAACAATCTCCAAACCACATTCCAAAGAAACAAAACATAAAAAATGAGGCTTCTCCTCTTCCTAGGAGAAGAAATCCTAGCAAAGAGATTTTTCAGAAAAGATCATAGTAACAGGGATGCCCAAGAGCCTCTCACTCAATGGGACTGGGAAGGAAAGCATTTCTGCACCCTGGCTAGGCATGGAGAGAGCCACAGGAGTGAGCCCTGACCCATCAGGAGGTGAGGAGAAGGGAAAAGAGAACTCACAGGCTGTCATCAGGGGACAGGCTATCACTGAAGAAGGAACAGTTCTGGCTTTCCATCTCTGCAAGCCTGGAGGGAAGAGAAAAAGGTGGACACATGGTCAGAGACACCCTGAATGTCTGCTCAGCTACTTGCAGCAGGCCCTGCAAGACCCCTCTCTGCAGGGTCTCCCCCCTGGCCTGCACCAATCTGTCCTTCTGTCCTTCTGCACAGGCTCTGGAGAGCTTTGCCTTTTTAAAAACCAAAATACACTGCTGCTCTGGGTGTAAGTCTCTAGAATAAAGAGCTGCTGCTGTGCAGTTGGCTCAGCTCCTCTCTCACAAGCAAAGGAACGGGATGTAAGAATTCCAGCTCCAGCCCAGGAGCTGAGCTACAAGTACAGGCTCCCTGTACCCTTGGGTCCCCACAGCGAGGGCAGGGGCACCACAAAGCACAAGGCAGCAGCAGTGGGAGCTGGCAAACAGCTCTGGTGAGGACACAGAGCAGAACAACTGAGGGCTGTGCTTGCTGAGAACCCATCCAGCAGCTCATCCTGGGCAGAGCAGGACAGCACATGGAGGCTGCTGCACTCTGCTGTCAAATGCATGGTCTTTGCTGCTCCAGCCATATCCCAGGCAGGCTTGCCTGGCTGTGCAGGGTGCTGGGGCAGGTGGAGGGGTCTGTGACCATCTGTGTGCCCCAAAGCCCCCCCCCACCCATCAGGGCCATGCCCTGTGCCCCAGCAGGACAGCAGAGCCCTGGGGGTACCTGCTGGCAAAGTGCTCGATCCTGGAGTGAGTGTCAGCGTGGGGTAACATCGGGGAGGAGGCTGGGCTGCAAGAGATGCACACTGGTCAGCAGGCTTGGCACAGACTGATCCCTCCTGGCTGAGAGGAGCCAGGGACAGGCTGGACAGAGACTGAAATCTCTGTTCCTTCAAGAACAACGTGGCAGATCAGCCCCAGAGCAAGTGCTCCTCCAGCCCTCCCCCAGGAGCCCTGTGTCAGCTGAGATGCTCCTTCCATCCACAGAAGCCATGTCTCATTCTGGGCCCAAAGACATGAGCCAGGGCCCCACAACTCACGTCTCAGAGCAGTCAGCCTCGAGCACAGACTGCACGGGCAGGTAACCCCTCTGTGGGTGCTTGCTGAAGTACTGCTTGGACCTAAACTTGTTCTTCAGTGTCGTGGCAAAGTCCCTCATGTTCTCACTGGATGTGGTCTGCAGAGACACAAATGTGACACAGTGCCTGTTTAATGGAAAGTGGGGGACCACAGCTCAGCACCCACAATAAGATATAAGATATCACCCCAGGCTGGGCATGAGCTCCATGGGAGAAGAGGCAGATAAAACTGAGAAAGCAAGGAGGGCACACAGCAGCTCTGTGAGCCTGTTGTGGGGCCTGGCACAGGCCACGCTGGGCACTGGGGCCATGTATCCTGCTCACCATGAGCCCCAGTGCAGGGACACAGGCAGAGTCCAACATGCAGAGGGTACAAAACTACACAAGGGATCCACTTGTGGGGCTGCACCAGCCCAAACATCACAAGGCTGCTGCCATCGTGGGCCCTGCTCTGTGCCAGGGCCCTCCCAGCCCAGCCCAGCTCCTTACTGGGGTGTAGTACTCCATGATGGGGTAGTGCAGCTTGTTGCCCTTGCTGGCTCGCCCCGTGAGGAAGCAGGTCTGGCAGATATCCACATTGAACTGCTTCAGGCTCCGATACCTGCAGAGGTCAAGAGGCCACAGGGAAGCACTGGAAGTTTGAAAACATGTGTTTAAAGCCCAAGAAGAGGTCAGTAGGAGGGCACAGAGGTGGCCTGTGTTGCTCTAACACCCCAGTGAACCCACAGTGCTGGTGGCTCAAGTCCCCAGGAAAGCATTCTGCTCCTTCCCCTTAGCTGGCACCTGCTCTGCCCTGTCATGAACACTGCTGGCTGCAGATCTTCAGCTCTCCCAAGAGCACAGAGCAGCTCAGCTCTGCCCTGCAGGACAGCACACACTGCCCTTGGGGCCGGGGTCCCGTGTCACAGCCCTTACCTGAAGCCCTTGATGGGGCACTGGCGGCACACAGAGCACTTGGTCTGGTGCTTCACCTGCTCGGCCATGGTGACCCGGTGCAGCACCGCCAGCCACACCATGGACTGGGGCTCCAGGTTGGCCCACTCCAGGAACTGGGACACCTCAATGGCAGACTTCCCATTGCTCTGGGGAGGGAGAGGAAGGGGCTGCTCAGAGCTGGGGCCTGGCTGCCATGGGGTGCAGGTCCCCTGCCACCACAGGAGCCTGTCCCCAGCACAGACAGGGCCAGGGCCATCACCCCACACTCACAAAGCGGAAGCAGCTGCGGATGCTGGGCTCCACATTGCTGCCCCCAAACGCTGCCACCTCCCCCAGCTGGCGAGGGACCTGGATGGCCTCGTGGAGCAGGACCCCGAGGTGCCGCTGGTCACACAGGCCCCCGGCATTGGCCACCTGGCTGAAGAGATCTGTGGGGACACAGACACAGCTGAGAGCCCAGCAGGCACGGGGAGCAGGGTGTGGGGCACAGCAGGGACCCCACTGACCTCCCCCAGCACAAGGAGCAGGGTGTGGGGCACACCAGGGACCCTGCTGCCCACCCCCAGCACAGAGCTCAAATACAAGGAGAAATCTGAGCTATGATTAAATAACTTTTATCAGTGGCCTTCCAGCTCCTAATAACCAGTTTAGTGTCTTCTTCAGACATACATCAACTATTAAACAGCACCAGCTAGCATGTCCTCTATGAATCAGCCAAATCCCTTCATTTACCCCCTTGGTGCTCCCTATGCTACACAAGATTCCCCTCCACAATATTCCATGGTTAAAATGCAGTGAGGAAAGCAATTTGCCTGAAACCTACTTTCCCCCACCCATGCACCCCCTGGTATTTTCCTTCTGGAAAGCACTGGATAACTTTCCTGTGTGCCTTCTCTGCACTGCTCCTCACAGTGCCATGCAAGCAAGATCACTGCAGCACCAGGCAGTGTACAGCAACACCTCCTAATTTCAGTGGCGTAGGCCTGGGGAGGGAGGGAGAGGTGATGATGCAAGCAGCTTAGTCACTGCAGGAAAGCTGTTTCTTTGCTCTTCCTGGGCAAAGAAGGTCTGAGCCAGGAAACAAAACCACTCCTGTCTTCCCGAGGTGAATTCACAGCAGGTTCTAGGGGAGGCAGACAAGGGACTCACACTGGAACTTCTCCTTGACCTCTGTCCCGCACAGACACGCGATGCCCGTCTTGAAGGAGAGAGCCCTCATCTTCCCACTGCGGCCACTGCAGGATGAGAGATTGCACAGCTCTGCAAATGCTCCAGAGTGGGTGTTTTTGGCAGGGGGGTCATCAAGGCAAGCACACACGAGGCAGCCTCCCTCACTGCCAGCTGGAAGAGCAGCACGGGGGTATTGTATTTGCAGGGAGGAATGATGCATCTGAATCCATGCTCTCAGAAGGCTAATTTATTATTTTATGATACTATATTGTATTAAAAAATACTATACTGTACTAAAGAATACAGAAAATACAGAATGCTAAATAATAATGATAATAATGAAAACTCGTGACTCTCTCCAGAGTCCCAGCTTGGCACTGATTGGCCAATGAGTGAAAATAACTCACACCAGAAACCAATGAAACAACCACCTGTGGCTAAACAATCTCCAAACACATTCCAAACCAGCAAAACACATGAGAAGCAAATGAGATAATAACTGTTTTCTTTTTTCTCTAACGCTTCTCAGCTTCCCAGGAGAAAAATCCTGAGCAAAGGGATTTTTCAGAGACTGCAAATGCCACATGGGGGTTTCCTCCCAGGCCTGGCAGCCCCACAGCTCGGGGGATAGGAGGGACCTACTCTCCAAACACATTCCAAAGCAGCAAAACACAGGAGAAGCAAATGAGATAGTAATTGTTTCCCTTTTTCTCTGAGGCTTCTCAGCTTCCCAGGAGAAAAATCTCGGGCAAAGGGATTTTTCAGAGAATGCAAATGCCACACAGGGGGTTTCCTCCCAGGCCTGGCAGCTCAGGGGGAGGGAGAGGTACCTGTCAAAGACGTTCAGCAGCCAGTTGAGGCTCATGTCCACGCAGAGGGGCACGTTGACCAGGATGCCGCGCTCCTCCTCCAGGCGCTCGTAGAGCGCGGTCAGGCAGTGGATCACCTCCACCACGTCCATCGCCCGCTCGCTGGGCTGCAGGTCGTGCTCGTTGAAGATTTCCAAAGCCGTGCCCAAGGTGACCATGTCCACTGCACAGAGAGCACAGAGGGACCAGAGGGAAAGAGGGGAAATGAGAGAGGTGAGAAGCAAGAGGAGAGAGATGCTGTCCTGCCCTAACCTGGGGCAGTGTTACTCTCACTGAGCTGGGAAAGATGCTGGTAAGGATGGGTGCAGCTCCAAGAATTTCTCTCCTGCCTGTAAACTTCTCCCAAAATACCACATCTCCACCTTGAGCCACCATTCTCTGTGACCCCCCTTCCTCATTTCTGTGTCCAGCTGTGGCCATGAAAATTCCCCCCATGGAAGACTCTGTGCAGAGCCCAGTGCTGGCCTCTCTGCATGGGCCAGGTCCCTGTGGGGCTGCTGTGGGGGCACAGACCCACAGAGACCCTACAAGCAACTGCCCAGAGATAGATCAGTCCTGTCTCCAGCTCTGACAGGGTGAGGGAATAAGGCACAAACACAAAACAGGGCTAGGACAGTGTGAGATGCCCCGGCTGCCCTGTTTTCAGATTTCTGCTGCAGGTTGTATGTGCTACTGTGTTAGCAACCAGCAATACTTCTTTCCTGAAAGTCTTTCCATCTTTGAGACCTTTTTATATTCACAGTACCCAGAGGACTGTGTGCCTTTTCCACACTGTAACTTTACTCTGTGGATAAATCCTCCCTTCTCCTGTCAAAGCTGCTACACTCACACTGGGAAGCCCCAGTTTCCATGCCAGGGAGTATCACTCCTGCCCACCCTCGTGTCCACACTGCCCACGACTGCATATGGCTCTGATCTATCCCTCACTGCCTCTTTCCTACACAGCCACTCCACCAAACTTCTCGTGATGGGAAAGCTGCCTTGGCAATCTCCTTGCCCTTTTCTCAAGTATATCTTGAATAAAGAGCACTTATTCAAGTCAGTTCTGGAGTGGAAAGAAGGCGACAGTGCGGCATGTGAGAGATGCACAACCAAGGATGCACAAGCAGCACACAGGAGAGTTCTACTTTGCTCTTCATCCTTGTTTCCTCTCCACACCTTGCCTGCTGCTGCATGGACACCTTAACAGGGTGGCAAAACTTTCTTCCATTTGCATTACATCATCCCTGAATGTCCCTGGGTACAGGACAGCCTGATCACCACAGTGTTATGAAAATACTTCCCAGCCAGGGGCTGACTCCCTTGAGAACCCAAACTCCTCTTCCCCTGACTCACTGCCTCCTTCCAGCCCTTTCACAGGTCTGCCTGGGCCCCACTGCTGCTCCCATTCATGAACAATTAATTCAGGAGGATTATTTCCCCCAGACTGCTGCTGCTTAATTTTGATAGAGCCTTAGGTGAGGCTTTATCAAAAGCTCTGAGCAGCCAAGGATGCTGTATCTATCAGATTCCCACCTGCCTGCTTGCCAGTTCCACCAGAAACTCCTCAGCAGTTTCCAAGGACCACCTGCCTCTTGGAGAGATATTTGAACTCCTGTTGTATCATGTTCACCTGGCTATGAATCCTCCAGTTTTCATCAAGAGTGTAGAAGTCAGGTTTATTTGCTCCCTTCCTCCTCTTTTAGCAGTGCAGCCCCCTCTGTCCCTGCCAGTGAGGCTGGTTTCATCTCTCAGTTACATCCACACCTCCTCCAGGCTCCTTTGGAGCTGCTTGTGAGCTCCTGCCTGATCCTACAGCTTTGTAACCCTGAGCTGGACCACTTTGTTCTCACATCCCTTTGGACATCACCTGCCCTTGGGCCATCTCCACCCCAAGCTGTACAAAAGGCGCTGACACAGACTGGTGCATTTGCTCAGATTCCCAGGCTGATCTCCCTGGTTTCTCCCCTCAGCTACCCATCCCCTGGTGCCTCCTGCCTTTGATGTGCTGATAAAAGCTCGTGTTAGTTTAAGCCTTCACCGAGGGAGAGGCAGCAGGAGGGGAGCCCTTCCCACACTCACATCTCAGGGCTTTCTGCACCCGCCGCAGCTTCATGGCTGTGCGGTACGCCGAGAACTTGATGTTGTTCAAATCCGCTGCAGAGACACAGGAAAACAAGAATAAACCACAACATCCTCCTCTCCAGGGCAGGAAGCAGCAGTTGCAGCTCTCAGAGCCCAGCAGAGCACGTGCAGGACAGTGAGGAGCAGAGCCTGGCAGGGGTCACACCCCAGTGCTTTGGGGGACCCTGTGGCACAGAGGGGAGCAGGTGGCCTGGGGGGATCTCACATGCACCATAAATAAAGCAAATACTGCTCAAAGGGTTCTGTGACAGCCTCCTTACCCAGCGTCTGGTACAGCTCTGTCATCTTTGGGTGGTCCCAGCACGTGGTCTGGGCCTGGTGGCTGGAAGCAAAATAGATGGAGACCAAGAGTCAATGTGCTAACCAAAAGCTGCAGTGAGAGATTAAAAAAAGGACCTGGCAAGCACTGGGAGCAAGTGTTTCAGTGTCTGCAGACACTGCTGCATCCCCCTGAGCACACTCCCCAGCCACAGCAGCAGGAAGGATGCCCACAGCAGGATATCCCCACTTGCTGCCAGCCCTCCCCTTCCAACTGGGGTTTCCCCTCATCTTGGGCATCCCAGCAGGCAGGGAAAGCCTGGATCTGCCAGGCTGAAGAAGCCCTGCTTCACTGGAGGTGAGTTCTCCCTCCCATCTCCTAATTGCCCAATTCCTGATCACCCCAGGCCAGAGAAGGCCTCGGGCTGTGTCTGGGGACACTCACTTGATGTAGTATGGCACTTTGTTGGGGGAAATGGCTCGCTCCCAGGGCACCTGGACAGAGGCTGCAAGGAGAGAAACACGTGTCAGATCAACACCAAATGCTCCTCTAAGCTGCTGCTGTTTCTGATGCCAGCCCTGGCACAGCAGGACTGTGCCAACAGGTGGGTGCCTTTGATAAGGCTGCATCCTCCCAAATCACCAGCTGGAGATGTTGGTGCAGGCAAGGAGATGCTGCCTATAAAAAAGGTCCAACTGCTGGTCTTGTTAGAGACATCTTGCCTCTCAAGCCAAGGACTTTGTATCTGGCTGAGCTCAGAACTCAGGAAGAGACATTTCCTGATGTTTTTGATGAAGCCCAAAGCAACCTTGTGGTGACCAGTGGGCAGGGCTCATAGCAGATGGGATTTGGGCACACAGACACAGCACTGCCTGTTATGACCAGGCTCAGACACCCAAAGCATCTGTTGTTCCTGCTCTGTGTGCCAGCTGCAGTATCTTGGGAAGATGACGATTCATCCCCTACCAGCTGCTTGCCACCCTGTGTTATGCAGAGGATGGAAGCCATGGCAGGACCCTCAGATATTTTCCTTTTTCACAGGTAGTGTATCAATTCCAGCAGCTGGAAAAGTCATTCTTCCTTTCAGGTAGGAGTGTGCAGTCTGCAGAGAAGCACAGGCCAGCGAATCCCACTGACATCCAGAGACCCTGCAGGGCTCAGCATTTCCGAGGATGGAGCCCAGGCTCTGGAGCACATCCTGCCTGCCCAGCCTTGGCAGGCCTGAGAGCTGTCAGCAACAGCTCTGATCTGTAAAAACAGCATCCCTCTGCCTCACCACATGAATGAAAACCTCCTGAAAAGGCACATTTTTAGCCTCCAAATAACCAACAGGGGATATGAGGGACTGCCTTTTCCTGCCATCTGTTGTCTTGCTCTGAGGCTGACACAGTCCCAGTGTCCCTTGGGAGCTGCTGTGAGTGTCACAGCTCTGTGCTCTGAAGGGAAACCACACTCAGAACCACCCTCAGTCCCACAAGGTGAGACCAGTGCCAGCTTTGGAGATGCCCCTGCTTTGGTCCCACAAGGTGAGGCAGCACAATGCCAGCTTTGGAGATGCCTCCTGCTTCAGCTCCTGTGTACCAGGCACCAGCCTGGGCACTTTTCCAGCCTCGTGCATGGCTCTGGGCTCAGCAACAGGACTTTGCACCCTGTTTTGCTGTGCCACAGCCCAGGCTGCTCTGCAGAGGCAGCCTCATGGCAGAAACCAGGGGATGCACTCACGTACAGGAGAGGAAGTGCTGGGAGCCTGGTCCAAAGTCCCGGTGGGCATCTTGGAGCTGCTTCAGGCGTTCATTTATGGAGGCCTGGAGAATTGAAAAATAATTCACTGCCAGTCCAATGAGCATTTTGGATTGATGACCCGTTCAGGAAGGCTTGTGGGTGGACTCAGACATGCCCCAGCACACAGATGCTCTTCCTTCCTCTCCTATCCTGGTGTTTGTGTCCTCCTCCAGCCTGCTAAACCCTCTACACCTCCTGCTGCTGGGGCAGCACAGCCACATCTCCAGCTCACCTGCATCCATACTCTCACAGACATCAAAGCAGTCACAGCTGGTACTGACCCTCTCCACCAACACATCCTGACTCTCCCTTTGTTCCTCACACTGCCTTTTCCTGACCAAGATCTCTGCAGATTTACCAGGCTCTTTCCTCACACTGAACTGATGCTCTTCTCTCCCAGGAGCACCAGCTATAACATCCTGCTGTGCCAAACCTTACTTTATCCTCCTTGAAGGTCAGCAGTGAGAGCCCTTCCCAGCACCCTCCTGCCCATGGTTTATTTGCAGTGCTTGCTCCTGACTTCCTCCCACCTGCAGCTGCTTCCAGCGGGTGTTGATCTGCTCCAGGGTGCGGGAACTCTCCATGCACAGGTGCACATCTGAGATGGCCAGCTGGTGTGCAAGGTCATTGACCACTTTCACCCCATCCTTCATGGGGGACAGCTCCTCTTTGAACAGCTGGAGTCCAGCAGGGATGGGGACACAGCCACAGAGCAGGGGAAGAAGGAAAAGAAGCAGGTGAGCAGCCAGGACTTGGATCTGATTCCTTTGCTACAAGCTAGGGTGGGCTAGTGACTGCCAAGCCACTGCTGACCAACCCTGCCACAGGGTACCTCAGCAGGGGAAAAAATATCCAACCAAACTAACTAGGCTGCAGATTACTCCTGATAAATGAAATTATATTTAATGATTAAATTAAATTTAATGATAAATGAAATGGGAGGCTGCAGATTACTCCTGATAAATTCAATGGGGGGCTGCAGACTACTCCTGATAGATCAAATGGGGGGCTGCAGACTACTCCTGATAGATTAAATGGGGGGCTGCAGACTACTCCTGATAAATGAAAAGGGAACAATGACTCAACTATGCTGAGCCACTGTACCTGTGTCAGGTCCATGCCATGACAAGGTGCTCAGGACACTGCTGGCCAAAACCCCCCTCACAAAGCAGGGGAGCTGTGGGAAGGAGCCTTTGGCCCTGAGATCCCAGGTAATGAGGCTGCCTTGGACTGAGCAGTCCATGGAGCAGCTCTGCCAAGGCTGGAGCCAGCTCAGAGCCAGAAGTACCTTGGTGGACTGGATGTGCTCGGGCAAGGAGTCGATGAAGAGGTCCCCGATGGGCTCCCAGGTCTCCCGCACGCTCTCAGCCTGGTCCAGGGTGGTGCTGAGCTCCTCCATGGCCCCTTTGATCTCCAGCAGCTGCTCCAGGGTGCGCTCGATGTGGCGGTGCTGGTCCACGCAGCGAGCTGTGAGCTTCTCCCAGAGCTCGCTGGCCACGTTGGCCTGCTTCCACACAAAGCGGCTGATGTTCTGGATGCGGTGCCGCGGAGACACATCTGGGAGGGACAGCAGGAGCAAAAATGAGAGCCCAGCCCAGAAGAGAGAGGAGCAAGGAGTGGAGGGAGGGCAGGGAAAATAGAGATAAAAATATCTTGGGAAAAATGGGCAAAGGGAAGGAAAACAAGTAATAGTAGTATCCATAGTATCCATCTCTGCACCAGCTCCTCCTCTCTATCCTCACAGGCTGTGCTGCCTTTTAAAAAGCTAGCCCAGAGCACATCTGGTGCTGCCTCATGAGGTGCCCCCATCATGGACTGCACCAGGAGCCTCTGCCTTCTCCTGGGACAGCAACGCTGCTCTGTGCCAGTCTGACCCTTGGGCAAAGGACTGGGCACAGCCTGGGCACGGTGGTGTGGGGCAGAGCACTGGTGTGCTGCTCTGTGCCACCACAGCCACCTCCACTCCACCCTCTCTGGGCCAGCCCAGGAGGAGCTGTGAAACCAGAGAACAAAAAGGGGGCAGCTCCACAGACCTTTGCTTTCCAAAGTTGGTTCTTCTAATTCCTCAAATGGGTGCTGGGAAAGGAAAGCCTGTGCTGACTCCAGGACAGAGTAAATGTATGGCCCCCGAGACTTCACTTCTTCCATGAAAGCCTGGAGAGCAGAGCACAGAGATGAGACAGCAGGCTGAGCCAGAAAGCTGTGCCCTGGCTGCCCCCTTGCCAAATGCTGCAGTGATTTATTCATCCCAAGGCCCAAACCTCCCTGGAGGCACAGAGAGAAGTCAGTGTTAAGAGAAATATTTTTGCAGTTCAGGGAAGGAATGACCACCTGGCAGAAGGTGGCTCCTGCAGAGGTTTGGCCGGCAGCTTTGCTGGAGTGGGGAGGCAGAACAGCAAGCCCACAATGGTGTGTTGAGCCAGGGCTGCACAAGAGGAGCTGCTTTATTTATGGTGCTTTCACAGGCACTGCTTGGAGACGCTCTTCACTCGTGCAGTGAGAGCATGGCCACTCTAACAATCCTTCCAGCAGCTGCTCAGCAACAGGTCCAGCTGCTGCAGCAGCAAGGAGAGGAACAGCAGGATGCCCCACAGCAGCACATCTGCCAGGGAAGACTTCAGAGGCACGCTGGCCTAGCATGTCCTCTCCTCCCCTCCACTGCAGCTCCCACACCAGTGCTGTCTGCTGGATGGGCAGTTTGTACACCCAGCAAGGATGAGGGATAGCAGCAGTAAACATCTTAATTTTGTTTTCAAGGTAAAAACAACTAAAGTCCAACAGCCACTGGCTGTTGAGTGAGAAGAAAATGCTGTGAACTTGGGAGCAGGAGACTCTGACCTGCCTGGGTGTACCCCAGTTTCAGATATGATGATAACATCTTCCTGCAGCCACAGGACTGCCCCTAGACCAGCCTTCTCAGGCTCCAGGATCCCAAAAGCAGAGGCCAGTGAGAGGTAGGACATAGGGAAGCCACTACAAAGGACAGGGTCCATCACCAGCTGCAGGTGACTCAAGGCTGTAATTTGGGTTTGCTGTCTAAAACCAGCTGGACTCTGCCTTTTCTCAGAGCAGAGATGGAGGCCCTCAGGGGCTGGCTGTGGCGTGGCAGTGACATGAGGCAGGGCTGTGCACAGCCCTCAGGGCAGGAGCAGGGGAGGAGCAGGAACTCACCGCGTGTGTCTCCTTCTCCTGCTGCACCAGGAGAACATCGCCCCGCAGGGGCAGCTGGGCCGACAGCTCCTCATCCTTCTGCCCCAGCCAGTCTATGATCTCCTGCAGAGGCACCTGCAGCTTCCCACTGTGGTCAGAGAAGGCCTCCAGCCGAGCCCTGGCAGGAGAGCAAGGACAGTGAGACAGACAGACAGACAGACAGGAGAGGAGCAGCTTCCTTGAGGAGGGGAAGCACAGCACCATGGCTGGGTGCTGACCCCCAGAACATCCCTAGGGACTGGCAGCACACCTTAGCACGGGCTGTGCTGACCCCCAGGACATCCCCAGGGACTGGCAGCACACCTTAGCATGGGCTGTGCTGACCCCCAGGGAATGGCAGCACACCTTAGCACGGGCTGTGCTGACCCCCAGGACATCCCTAGGGACTGGCAGCACACCTTAGCACGGGCTGTGCTGACCCCCAGCCAGCAGAGAGCCTACACTGCCAGGTGGGGTGAGGCACAGAGGCACTGGGGACAAGGACCTGGAGCCATTCCTCACCCTGGAGCCCAGAGTAGGGGACAGCCGTTCTGTGTTTGCCTGTGGGTCAGAACTGCTCTGGCTAGCAAGGGGGGCTTGGAATGGCATTTACATGTCTGGGCAGCTTCCAGGAGCCTTGGATTAAGGCAGGAGACAATTAACACGCCCCAGTTAAGCTCTCTGTCATGCTGGAGCTGCAAACTCTGACAGTCTGGAAGGCATGTTCCCCTCATGCAGGGGAGAGGGCTCCCAGTGAAGGGATGGGCACAGAGGAGGTGCAGGCAAAGCCATGGGGCAAAATGAGACAGCTGCAGAGGGGGCAGAGGATAGAGAGAGCAGCAGAAAGCAAGCAGGAGGAAAGGAGGGGAGGGAGGAGAGCTTGGGATGGGTAGAAATGGAGGAGATGCTTTCCAGCAAAGGGAGATTCAAAAGCCTGTGGACCAGAGGGGGAGCTGAGCCAAGGTCACTGTGAATTCATGTGGCTCATCAAGCAGAGAAGTTCAAAAACCTCCTGACAGTCAGAAGCAGCAGGCAGGGCTGGAAGGCCAGGCCAGCCTGGGGCTCGCTCCGGGCAGGACTCTTACCGAAGGCTGTGGGATTTTTTTTTGATCTCGTTCCAGCAAAGATTCATCTCCAGAGGGGCCTGGGGCCCGGCAGCAGTGCTGGGAGCCCGGGGGGTTACGCACGAGGGTCCTGCACCATCCTGTGAGGCTTCAACCTGGGCAGAAACAGAACCACACTGCATCCAGAGATTGCTGCCTCGTGCTTTGGGAACTTGCCTGGGGACACCCACCCCACTCTGCCCTGACCCTGACTGGTTTTTTGACTCTCCAGGAGCTGCCCTGTTCCTTAAGTGGTCTGTTAGCAGCTCCCAGGAAACTCCTGGCTGTCTCTGCAAGAAGGATGCAGTGCCAGCTCCAGCAGCACTCAGAGCAAAGGCTGAAGGGAGGGTTTACTGCACATCTCCTGCTCTCCTCAGCTATCCAGCAATGAGCTTATCTTGCTGAGAGCTGTTAAGCCAGAGCTGGTCCTTATGTGTCACAGTGCCTGCAGGGCTAATGATGATTTTTCCCATGTTACACAGAGCTGCTGTGCTTCGAGAGGAGGCTGATCCTGCTGTTCCTAGGGACCAAGGGGATCTGCCAACATCCTTTATGCCATCCCCAGTGCTGGCACTTGCCACCTGCTCCTCTACAGAGGCTCCAGGATATTCCCTGCCTGCCTGGCAAATCTGAGAAGCCACTTCTCCTCCACAGATGCTGCTTCTCCTCCGCAGCTCTCCAGAATGAGCAGCCGTGGGAAGGGTGCTGCAAAAGGCCATGGAGAGAAGACAGCAAATCCCAACCCAGCCAGGCAAGGGGGGCACATCCAGCTGGAAAAACTGGGTTCTGATCCCTGGACAACAAATCCTTGTTGGAATCCTCTCCTGAGCCTTTAGCACTGTATCATGCCCCTGCTCACAACACACTCTGCTGCACGTGCTGGTGACAGCAGCACACAGCACCCAAAGCCCCTGACACAGGACTCAGTGAGTGAGAGGGGATTTTCTCTCCAAAAAACACAGTTTGTTAAGCAAAACACATGGACACTTTCCCATAAGTGAGACATCAATGAGCTGTGTTGGAGAAATGGCAGCTTTTCGATCGAGTGCTGCTTTGATATTAGAGCTCGCTTGAGATAATTATCCCCAGGTGCTTAATCAACCATAATTAAATGTGTTAGTACTTTCTAAACAGCATACAACAGGCCAGATAAGGGCAGCTGCCTTGGGGGAAAAGCAGCAGCTCTTGCAAGGGGAATGTGTGCATACATACTTGTCACTTGTGCTGTCCAAGGGCTCGTGGAGGTGTCTGGAGAAGCAATTCAGCCAAGCCGAGGGAAACAACAGGCAGGAGAAAACAACCAGACGAGGAATTTGGCTGCACAGCTAAAAATACCCCCTCCACACCAGTTCTCAGAGAAAAATCAAATGATCGCCAAGACTGGTGCTAAGTTTGATTCATCTAAAAACATCCAACAGGCTGTTCTCTGCCTCCCCATCCTGCCACTCCAGAAACACCAAGAAAACAGAGAAAACCATCACCCACAGAGTTCACAGGATTCTTGGGGCCACGGATAATGATCCACTGAAGCTAAAACTGCTGCTTGCACATAGAAAAACCAATACTCTGCATGTGCAGGTGCTCATGGCACTGAAGTAGGTCAGTGCCAGGGAACTCTCCAGCCCTCCCTTCCATCCCAGGGGATTTCAAAGGAAGGATCAGCTCTACCTGGGTGCCACCACACACAGCTCTGCAGACAACCCAGCCCTCCCAGCCTTATTTCACAAGTTAAAAGCCCACCACAACTGCAGCTCCCAAGCCTTGTAGATAATCACGTAGCAGTGACCAAGCAGAGAGCAGGTGCTGAACACCTGCTTCCCTAGGGCAAACCCCCTGCAAGCGAGCAGAGGGAGAAATAATTGCTGTCCTGTTGGGGAAGATGAAACAGGAAAGCCTTATAAATATGATTGCCTGGCAAAAGATTTTGAGAATATGGAAACTATAAGTGAGATTGAAATGAAAGCAAGCTTTGAGATACCTCAGTTACTGAACAACAAAAAAACAATGGTGTGGCCAGGTGAAAGTAATCCCCTTTTGATGGAACAACACCCTCTGCTTGCAGACAGGCCCAAGGGTCAGAGCAGACCCTACAGCTTGGCAGAAAGGGTCCAAAGAGGAGTTTTTAGGGTTTAAAATGTAACACACTATAGTAATATAGAGATTCTTAGAGGTTGTATGTAAATGCTATAGGATTTGTATATTGTACTAGATTAGTTAGTGAAAATCAGAATATTCAACACAGAAGATGATTTATTGTATTGTAACAAGAACTTCGCTTGCTTGCCCCTCTTACTCGCTTACCCCTTTTACTCTCTTGCCCTTTTATGCTCTTACCCTGTCATCCTCTCTGCCCCTCTCTCCTCTCAGTCCTGCTCTGAGCTGTGCCTGGCAGCTCCCAGCAGGGCCCTGCACCCAGGCCCTTTGCAATGAACCCCAAGTTCCAGCCCTGGCTGCAGAGATCTCCCATCTCCGTCCCTCCCGACCGTGCTACCCCCGTCGCTCCTACACTCTCCCTCTGAGCATCCCCTCAGCATCCCCTCCCCAGAGCCCCAGCACCCGGACCCTCACCCCCACATCCACCCTGTTGCAGGTTTATTCTGGGACTCACGCGGGCTGGGGCAGGTGTCCCTCGCTGCTCTCAGCCCCAGCTCCGCCCGGAGCTCCGCCGGAGGAGCGGGCATCGCTCCCGGCCGCCCGCGGCAGCGCCCCTGGGCAGGAGCGGGCACGGCACGGCCGGGAGCCCGGCACGGCTGGGCACTGACCCCCCAGGAATGTGCAGGGGGCGGCAGCCATCGCTGCCAGCCTCAATCCCAGCTTTGTCCAGCGGCATTCCAGCAGCCTCCAACCTGCCCTAACCCGCGGCTGCCCTCCGAGCACAGGGAGGGCAGGGATGTGCCCGCCGGGGACAGCCCCGCGAGGGACAGCAGGTGTGTGCAGGATGGGGCATTCACACACCCTCTGAACAGAGAGAGCCTGTGAGACAAGCAGAGAAGAAGGAAAACACAATTCTCATCTCGCTTGCTGTGCCTGCGTTGTGCTAAAGTAGAATGCGATATGGAGATTGTTTACCCTCCCAAAGTGAGGATGTTTTGTTCCCTTGGCCTGTCAGGGCCAGGTGTGTGTGTGTGTGTGTGTGTGTGTGTGTGTGTGTTGGACTGTCACAGGACAGTCATGAGACAATCAGAGATGAGTGCAGGGTGAGCAGTTGTGAGCAAGAGTGAGTGCAGGGCAGATTCAGTTTAGATACAATGCACATAGTATAGTATAATAAAGTAATTCATTAGGAATTAATTAGCCTTCTGATGATGGAGTCAGATGCATCATTCTCTCTCCCCTTTGTCAGAGTCACTTTGATTTACAATACAGGGTCACTGGAAAAGCCATCCCTGCGAGGCCAGGGCAAAGGGGATGCCCACCACAGACCTTGGCTCTGATGCTGGAGCACACACAGAGGTGTTTGCCAGGGAAGGGGTTTGTCCAGGAAATCATCCCATGGAGCCTCGGTGACCCAGAAGGTGAATAGGTTCATGAGACCTAATCCCAAAAAAGTCAAAGATGCCCTTGTTGTCCCCCATGTGTACCAGCAGATGTTCATGCCAGCCTGGACCAAGTGCAAATATTTTCTTTTTGCCAAAAAGCTCTGGGCTGGCTTCTTGTGTCCCCCACAGTCCTGACGCCCAGAATTTTTATCATGCTCTCTTCCACCTACAGGGAGGGAAAGAAAAGCTCCCAGTATCTCTCCCTCTCTTCCCAGAGGGTGCTGCCCCTCCCTGTGGGACCAGCACAGCCAGCTCCTCTCCCCAGCAGCCCTCAGGTCCAACAGATGGGAGAGCAGCTCCCAGACTGGAGGAGGGGGCTTCAGTGAGACCACAGCTGAGCATGGGCTGCCTGCAGCCTGCCCAGAGCTCTCAGCACCAGCAGGACAGGAGAGGGAGGCTGTTCCTAGGCACCAAGAGCAGCCCTTCCAACGGGGAGCTGTCATTAGCACTGCTCCTGCTCCCATTGCCCTCTCCCAGCAAATCCCACAGGGCTCTGATCCCCTCACAGAGGCTTGGACTGCTCAGGCAGGTCAGGAAGGCTTTTCTCTGCTCATCCTGTTCTATCCCTCTCCCTCCTCACTTCATTTGCCAGGCCGTTTATCAACCACCACTGGCCCACAGCAGCACTGTATCAGCCACCCTGGGGCCAAGAAACCCTGACTCAGCCACCAAGAGCCTGCCCCTGCCTCCTCCTTGCATGCTGGAGCCTCTCCAGAGACAGCTCTGCCCTCCTCCTGCACATCCCAGCTCCCTGAGGCAAACAGGTCCAGGCTGATGGTCAGCCACAGCAGGGAGAAACCTCAGGCTCAGACCTTGCTTCTCATGCTTGAAACACAACAAAAAAGTAAAAGGCAGAGCTGGGACCTCATTTGTCCTGGGGAGAACACTGTCAGTGCCCAAGGGAACCTTTGGCACCGTCCAGACAGGTGAGAGGCACCCTGGGACCAAGAGCTACAGGCAAAGAGGGTTCCACAGCCTGGCAGAGCCCAGGCAGCCTCTCCCCACAGCAGAGGTGCTAAAGCACCTCATGACAGCCCAGTGCAGAGCACAGGCAGCTTTGCAGACAGCTGCCAGCACACCTTTCCATCCTTCCATCTGCTCTGCCATTTACCCAGGGTCCCCAGAGACCTTCCTGCCCCTCTGGTGAGGAGCCTGGCCTGGGGCTCAGAGACCCTGGGGGGAGGAGGAGGGACACCAAGACCTGTCCCTCAAGATAATTAGATTAGTAAGAGGTCAGATTCCTGCTCTGCCTTACAGCATTAATACAATCCACCAGGGGTTTATTTCCAATTTCTTCTCTGCAACCAGGAAGAGTAGAAAACCTACATTTTCACCAAAAGCTGACATTCTTCCAAGTTTCCAGGAAAAAAAAAAAGCCCAACCAAATACATAAGAGCTGTTTACAGTAACCTCTCATTTTTTCTTGTGAAAGAGGCTCAGAGTCCAGCTCTGCAGGTCTTCTCTCTCCCCCTGCTTTGGGGAACGCTCTGCAGCAGGAGTGCTGGAGCAGAGCACACGCTCTCCTCCTTCAGTGATGGAGGCTGGAGCTGGCAGCCTCCCCTTCCCCAGGAGCAGAGGGGCTGGTGTGCCCCCCAGAAAGCTGCAACCTCTCACAAATCTGCCAGAGAAGGGCTCCCGGGGCAGCTCTTACCTGAGAGAGCGGGCGGGCAGGGCTGCTGTGCTGCGCCTGGGCCGGGAGGGGCCACTCAGGACACGGAGGGAGGACATGGAGCCATTCCTGCATCACCAGGGGCTGCATCAGAGCTGATGGGCACGGGCATGGAGCACCTGAAAAGCAGCAGCAGAGTCCCTGGGTCAGCTTGCACCTCCTCACAGGGCTGAGCCCCTTCCCAGCTGCCTGCAGCGCTGCCTCCATGGCAGCTGGAGAGTAAAGGAGGCATTTTTAATTTAATGTACTTCTACTGGTGTTACAATCTAGTTTCATCTAAGCATCCAACTCTTTTCTTCCACCTGGTTATGCAATTTGCTGTTAGTGAGTCCCACAGACTATACTGCACTTTTAGAAAGGGTTGGGTTTCTTGAACTGTCTGAGATGCCCATGGTTATAGAAAGGGAGAGAGGATCTCACTAGCATGGCCATTGTTCTAGTTTTGGTTGAGATAACATTCACTTTCTTCCTAGCAGGTGGTACAGTATGGTTTTTAATCCAGAACAACTTATGTTTAGACAGAACAGACATTCTCCCATAACAGACAACATTTTCAAACATATTTTTTCCTTTTATATTCAGAAGGCGAATTGCCTAGAGCCCCAGCTTCATGTATCTCACACTGTGAGCTAGCTTTTTATGAGTTTTTGCTCATTATGAGCTATAAAATTCCCTTCATTATCCCCATTTTTGAACTGCATGACCTGTAAAGCCAGTTAGCAGTGGCCCCTGGACTATTCTATAGATCAGAAATGAGACCTCTGGTCACAATGCTGCTGGGTTTTGTTGTTTGGACTCTAAATGAGCTAAAACAGGGATTCATTACATTGCCAGCACCATCTCAGCTTTATGGAAAGCCATGAGAAATAAAGCTCAGAGAAGATTTGGTGACTGCTTTCCTACTTTTACAAGGTAAAAATCACCTGCTCCAGCAGACAGAGCTCATGGCTGCCTGGAGATGAGGCTGCTTCCAGGGCAATGGGTGATGCTGATGGGAGAAGGCTGCTGGCTCCTTCACACCCAGCTCAGCTGGACAGCTGGGAGACCCCATCCTGTTGTCCCTGGCAGGGCAGGAGCAGGAGCAGGCAGCACATCCTGCACTGACAGCAGCCACACTGCACAGCTGAGCAGAAATCCCCCCGGCCCTGTGCATGCTGCCCATCCCTGGCACTTCCACAGCCCTCACTCCCCTGCCTGAGCCTTCTCTGCCTCTCTGCCCTCAATTACACACATTAAGAGATTATCCTGTGATTTTTTTTTAATCTCTTAGTGATTTTTACAGCTATAATGCTCTCCCTTTCCAGCAGAACAGCCTGTGCTGAGCTCTCCAGCAGGCTGACAGTCCAAGGTCTCGTCCTCTCCCTCTCCTGCCCATTAGCACCATTGAACACTGCAGGCTGTGCATCCCTGCTCCTTTCCCCATGCAGGCAGGGGATTATGAGGGGATTATGAGACCCACATTAATGATTATAAATTCCAGGGTCTTCAAAGCCCTCCAGGCTCTTGGTGCAAATTCACCACACCCAACCCCAAAGGTACAGAAGATTTCTGACAGAAGGTAACACCACCTCCTTTTCCTCCAGTGCTTGTGCCATTTGGGCTCTGTTCCTCTAAATGACACTCAGTCTAGCTGAGATACAATATTCAGGGTGTGGAAAGCTATTTTTCCTCAAAGCCTCTGACAAAAGAATGCCACTGAGCTCTTCCCCAGGACTGGGAACTCCATGGCTTTTGCAGTGAGGCTCTCTGATGTCTCACCCTGTTGCAGTGTGATGCAATAGCCTGTTTTAGTCATCCTGGTTCTTTCCCCAGGTGTGCCAATGCCCTCTCCCTTGCCCCCCCAATCTTGGCACTCCAGCAAGGGTCGTGTGATTGGCAAAGTTCAAAAGGTGCCTCTCAGCCCTGGGGACATTGGGCCATCCAGGTGTCACTTGTCCCTTGAGACTTTCCCCCTCCTTACCTGGTTGGTGGGACCCCCACCCCTTCCCTCCCTCTCTCCCTGGGGTTAAAAGACCCAGCAACCACGGGGTTCTTGTTCTGTTGGAGCTGGTGCCGCATTCAGAGCCCTGTGGGCCAGGAATAAAGCTCTGGATCGAAACCCCCCAGCAGAACCGACTCCTTTTCCTTCACCATTGCCTAAAACCTTTCCACCAGAGGTAAACCTGAGCTCCTGCTTGCCTGGACTTGTCCCAAGTGCCAGCTGCAGCATCCAGCCAGCCAGGGGTGTCTCTGAGGTGAAACCACCACAGCTGCCACCTCTGGTCAAGCAGCAAGGGCCAGATGAGCCCAGGCACGTTCCACCCGGCAATATTGGGATTTAACCCCATCCCTGTAGTTGCCATCCTGAGGCCTGGGTTTTTCTGTGGCACAGTGCAGTGAAACTGCAGTGCTGTGTGCTGGCCAGAGGAGTTCAGCCAGCCCTCCAACAGCACACACACCTGGGCTCTCTGCTCTCAGCCTGGCCCCTGACAGCTCCTGCCACCAGCACAGAGAACAGGAGCAGTGCTGGGCAGGTCAGCAGCTCTGCTCTGACTGCATTTTGCAGAGTGACAGATGTGCATGCACAGGGCAGGTGCACTCTGAGACAGGGGTGGGTAACCCTGCTCCTGCAGGTACCCACGTGTAGGGTGTCCATGCTCCCTGCCAGCATCATGGAAATAAGGACAGGCATTGCTGCACTCCTGAGGGCTGGCTCCTTGAACTCCTCCAGGGATGGCAAAGCCCATCAGGACAGATGGCACAGGGAGCTAAAGCCTGTCCAAGGCAGCAGTCACAGGACAAGCTGAGTGCCAAGCAAAGGGCACTACCCAGCCATGTCCTGTGCATCACCTTGCTGCCAGGAGCACCAGAGCAGGCTGGAGGGCAGTGCCTCAGCTGCCCTCTGGCATTGTGCAGCAGCAAAGACAAAGCCCAGAGGGAGAGAACCCAGATAATGTGGGACTGAGTGAGCTGCACAGCAGCCAGCACAAAGGAGCACATTCAGGGGAGAGAGAGACAACCAGACAGAGAGGCACGTCTGCAGGCAAGCCAGCAGCTCCATGGGACCCCCTGCCAAATTCCCTGCTATTACTGGAACCAAGCAAGGAGAAATGCTCTTGGATCTGCTCTGCTTCTCTGCTGAAGCACACAAAACAGCTCCAGTTCTGGCACTCCTACTTCAGTGCTTCTGTACAGCTCTGGGGCTGGGCACTGCAGCATGTGGAGCAGATTTTGTGGATGCTTCCTGGCTAAATTCCTACTGCCTGATGCTTCCTCCTGTCAAGAGCCAAACCTGTGATCCACTTTCCCTCTCCCACACCACCATTCACCCTCTGCACTCTGCTTTAGGCTGCTGCTGGAGACCCAGCACACAACAGCCAAGGTTCAACATCATACAAACCACACTGAAGTGCAGACAACAAAAGCTATCATCCCCACAGCCTACTCCAACCTCTAATTGAAAAGGACTTGTGAGATTCTCCTTTGGAGGGCTCAGGGAACAATGTGGTCAGGCTGTTCAAACAGATATAAAGTGAGCTTGGTCTCCTGGGCACATTTCTGTGCAAGCAGAGCAAGCATCAAGGCTCAGGTGAAAATTTCCGCAGGTGGACACCACAAGAAGCAGCTGTGGAGTCACCATGGAGCAGGGACTGGGGCACTGCACTCACACAGTGGAGACAGCAAGGAGAGAAACCCTTCCCACTGGTGTCCCTCACCTGTCTGTGCTGGGGGTCCCACTCCAGGCACAAAGGTGTCAGATCAGAGGCATCAGGTACAGCCTCCTTACCTGGTGCTGTTTTGCATCCTCCCCCGTGCAAAGCACCCAACACCTGAATCTGCTCTCAGAACACCCTAAGAAATGAAGCAGTACATGTTCCACAGTGCTGTGTTAGAGCTTCCAAACACTTCAGTACCCAAACCATTACCAAGATGAGACCTTGATGATCCTCTAGTTGAAAAAATGAGAAAGCAAAAAATCCGGATGTTACTTTTCAACAGATGAATGCTTGGGCATTAAAGGTATTAAAACCAAAATAATTGCCTTGTTTAATCTTCCTACATGAGCTGCACCTGTTACAAATTCAGCACTGGAGAGCCTGTCCCACTCCCTTCTTTCCAGGCAGTCTGACAGAGGCAGCTGGAACAGCCTTTGCCCAACCAGTCCTGCTCCAGCTCTGTCACACAACTCAGGGCACCACCCAGGATGTCTGTGCTCTCTCTGCTCTCCAGACCTGCTGCAGCAGCATCCCTGGCTGGCTGGAGAGGCTGTCCCAGCTCCTGCAGCACCTCTTCTCCATCCCAGCCAAAAGGAAGGTGACAGTTCCCACCAGTGCACATGGTGCACAGAATTCTCCAATTCTGCTGCATTTGTTTAAAATCCTCCTGATGGAAACCCATAACCAAACTCTCCCAAACATTGAGGGAACTCACACTGCAGCTGACCCTCATGGCTAAAGCCACCCCAGGATTAGAGACCTGTCCCTGGCAGTAGTGTCATGTCAGATGTTGAATTTCCAGCTCCCTTTCACACATAACAGCAGCAAACACAGTGTATAGGTCAAGAGGTCTCTCAATCACACAGTTTATGCTTTGAATTCCTAATTTCCTCCTAAGCATTCTTCCCTGAAACTTTCAACTTCAGATCTTGGCCTATAAGGAAAAAAATATGGGAACATCTTGAGGCAAGGCAGCCCAGCTCAGCCTTTATCCCATGAGGAGGGTGGAAATACAAACATGTTCCCTGCTGCTGGAAATGTTAATGGCTTTGTTGTTGTTTAACTTACTGTACAGAGAAGTAATAACATTTTAGCTCAGCATGTTCAGTGTCCTTTCAGGGGAAAGGTGGGAGGCTTGTGGATATTTCAGAGTTCAGCTCCCATGTAGATGCTAACAAAGGCAGCATTCCCAGGCTGACAGACAGCAGGACTCTCTCGACAGCTTAACAACACATCCTGTTTCAGCAAAAAAAATTATTTTCTGCACTTGTAAGTAAATAATTTAAGCCTGAGATTGCAGGCCAGACGACCTACTTCCCAAGACCCCACTGGTCAAGGTTTGGTTAGAGAAAAGCAACCCTTGTCCCAGTGGGATCAACATAAAAACAACACAGTTCCCTCTCAGAGCACGGGCCCTTCATCTCCATCTCTTTACAAACCCAGAATAGATACCCAAACACACTCCCACAAAAATTCTCCTGGTTGTTATGTGCTCCCATGTACCCTGAAAGGGGACTGTCAGCAATCTTCCACATGTGGGAGCATTTCCAACCCCATCATATGTGGGTTAAAAATCCCAAAGGCCAAAGCTGGGCTTCACACTGCACTTCCACCAAAGAACCAGGTCCCCTTTATTAATTAAAATGCAGGGTGCTTCAATTAGGCACCTGTCCATGAGAAGTAACATAAAATCTTGTTTTATCTGGTAGTGAGCAAGCAGCACAAGATGTGTTGTTCACTGAGGGTGGGTCAAGTGGGGACTCTCACATCTAATGAGCTCCTTTCCTAAATGGCCACTTGGACTTGGAGCTCATAACCAAAATGTTATTTTAATTCAATGGATGAACAGGTGCCACACATCTTAATAAGGAAGCAGCATCCTTTCCCCTGGCTCACTCACTCTCCATTTTCCTAAGCAACAGAATACAAACACTCACACAACCTCAAACTGAAAAATTTCACCAGTTGGCTTTGCACTAGGAAACTGTGGTGATGATGATGTCCCCACCTCACCAGGTGAGTGTGGGTGTATGCCCACAACATGGTCATGCAAAACTGACTACCCTTCTCTAGGCTCAAAAATAACTTAGGGAATTTTTTAAGGAAGATTGAAAAACCTACATTTCTTTTGCATGTTTTTTCAGACTCCCAGCTGGGTTTTAAGTTGCTCCCTCTAAAGCTCACTTTTCCCCTCTCTTAGCAGCTTAAAGTACTGAAATAATGACTCGAGCAGGCAGAGGAGCCAGCTGTGAGCCACAGCCCTGCTGTGCTGGACACAGAGAAGCTGCTGCCTGCTAGACCTGACTGACAGAAGGAGCAGGAGAAGAGCAAGCAGCAACCTCCCAAAGGGACAGCAGAACAGGGGGGAAACCACTTGCTTAATGACTGAAAGGAGGTTGCACCAAGCATAAAAACTGAACATTCCTTCAGAAACGTGGCTCCTGTAGCCCTGAAACTGCCAATTTAAACCAGTAAAAACCTCAAGCCTTGCCTTTCTCCTCTCAGCACCTGAACCTTCCCTTCCCTGCTGCTGGAAGCAGCAAACAAGTTTTGCTGCATTGTGAAAAGCACATCACCCATTTGCCAGGCTGTGTAACTGATCAACAACAGTGGGAAGAGCACACCCACACTCAGTTCTGATGGCCAAGGCAATGCTGCTGACTCCTGGCTGCCTTGGCACTTTGCTTCTCATTCTCACTGTAAAGCTGGCACCTGCTTCTCTAAACTGAATACTCTGCTTTGCCCCCAAGGTCGTTTTTATAATAAACTCCCTGCCAAAGCACAAAGCTCTCTGGCCTTCTGAGGCCATGAGTTTAATGACCAGGCTGTGTGCCCCATGGAGTCACATTTCCTTTCCCTACTTGAGATGTGTCAGAGTAACCTTATTTTTAACAGCAAAGGCAAATGGGATGGAGCAATTTTGGCTCAATTCTGAAAAGATTGGTTTCATCTTCATACACCTAGGAAAATGGGAGTTTTTTGAAGACTGAGTTCTTTCTGGTCAATATGCCTTGTTTCACGAGACTTATAATTCCTCTGTTATGCTTTTATCACAGACATCCAGGCTAAAGTGGAAGCCTTGAATGTACTTCTCAAAACATGATTATATTCAGAAATCACCATATGTCTCCAGAACTCAGGACTTTGTTTGAACCCATTCATTTAATCCCTTCCCTGTCTCACTTAGCTTGGTTTTGTGAAGAGCCACTCCAACCTGAGCAGCCCCATTCACAGTTACAGCCCTGGCCAGTTTTAGAGAGCAGCATTGATCTGTCTCAGGCATTAATCCAAAGACACGATCCTCATCCCATCTCAGCTCCTTCAGCTGACAGAGAGGACCTGAACACAGCATCACATCACAGCAGCACTCAAACCCTTCCCCTCCCAGCCCTCCACATTCCTGGACACTGCTGCAAAAGGGGACTGTGGTCCTGCTCCTTTCCAGAGTGGCACCACATCCTTGCTGTCTCCTGCTGCCTGCCTGGACAGCTCCCACAGCAGCAGAGAAAAGCTTCCAGCACAGGGAGGGTGTGAGATGGCACATGAACCACACTTGAGTGCCAGGAGAATGGAAACCCCCCCCAGAACAGCTGAACCTGGTGGCTGGGACCTCACACAGCTTCCTCAACAAGGGCACTGTGCTCAGGCAGGAAAGGCCATTAGTGAGAATAACCAAACCAGAACTCTCACAGGTCCAAGACAGAGAGGTGAGCAACAGCAGGAGAGGTGTGAGGGACCTTGGATTAGGGCACAAGGAAAACAAACTGACCAAAAACTGACTAGACTTTTTTTTCATCACTAAAATTCAAAATACAAACAAACATTGGTTTCTCCCAGAGAAAGCATGGCATTTAAGGGTATGGGAAAAATTGCTCCACACCCCTGTCACTGCACATGGGCAATTTCAGCATTGAAACCCCACAAATACAATGCTGGCACTTCCACCAGTGCACCTCCACAGCTGTGATGCTGTGCTGGAGGGAAGGCTGAAGGAAACAGGCTAGACTGGGCACCTGGAATAATCTGTGGCACCAAACCTTGAGAAACCACAGCCCAGGCCGTCCTGTCTGGGAGGGAGAGGGAGGCAGAATGCTGAGCCCTGGGGAGCAGGAGAGGTCCTGTGCTTCCTGCAGGCAATCCTGCAGCTGGCCAGGGCTGCCTGCAGCCAGGGGAAGGTCAGTGGTGGCAATAGCAGCCCTTGAGAGGGGAGGAGGAGGAGGAGGAGGAAGGATGAGTGAAAGGAGCTGGGGAGAAGCTGGGGGAGGGGAGGGCGGACACATAAAGGAGCAAGGCTGGACCGTGTAAGGTGCTGAATGGAAAGGGCAGGGCTGGGACTGTGGGCTGATCTTCATGAGGAACATTTGGGTGCCCTGATCCTGCCAGGAAGATGCTAGAAGGCCACCACACACCCTGCCCGGAGCAGCCCTGCCAGGGTAAATAAACCTTCAATGAGCAAAGCATCGCAGCCGGGCACACCGGGCTGCTGGGGACCGCTGCTCGCCTCGGAAATCCGCATCCCCAGCTGCTCCCCGGCCTCTCCCTCCTGGAAATGCTCTTGGCCACCGCTCCTGCTCCCACCCCGACACCCTTCTCCTCTTCTTCTCCGCAAGTTTCCTCACCCGCACATGCATGGGCAGCGCTGCTGCCAAGGGACACGCACACCCCCAAAGAGCGCATTGCCCGGTTCAACCCATCCATCCGAATTCTCCCTTTTCCCAGCCCAGGCAGGAACACGAGCGTTTTTGCCGTGGCCTACCTTGCGAGCGCGGCGGGTCCGGGCAGCGGGGGCAGCGGGCAGCGGGGCTGGCTGTGAATCAGCAGCGGAGCCCCTGGGGCAGGGCTGCATGCTGAGCCTCGGCACCGCTGCCTTCCTCCTCCTCCTCCTCCTCCTCCAGCGGCCCGGCTGCTGTGTTGCTATGCCATCACATCCCCGGCAGCAGCAGCAGCAGCAGCGGCGGCTCGCCCAGCTCACAGAGATCCCCTCGGCCGGGCAGAGAGCAAGGACGAGCCCCCGGGCGCCCGGCCCTCCGGAGAGCCCGGCCCGAGAGCGAGGATGCCGGCGAGGGGAGGGGAAGAGCGGGGATGCAAAGATGGGCACGCACGGGAGGAGGAGGAGACAAAATACACATGGAAAGGGGGAGAGAAAAGGGAGGAGGGGAGAGGCACAAACACACCGAGATCTGACCTCTGGGGACTGCCGCGGGCTGCTGGGCTCAGCCACGCTTCCCTCTGCTCGCCGGCATCTCCCACCGCCTCTCGCCTCTCATTTTAGGTTAGATATGGCCACGCGTGTACTGGAAAATGCCAGACACAGTCGCCTCCTTCCTTCAGCACAATTTGGGGATCTGACATTAGATTTTTATAATTTAAGAATAGCCCGTTTTACAGTTAAGGAGCAAAAATAGGATTATCACTTAAATTCAGATGTGCTTCCTGTTCTTAGAAAAGAAAAATAAGTAAAGGAAGGAGGCATTTCTCCTTTTAAATGTCAGGGTATCTTGTCTCAGCTCACAAGAAACAGGAGGATTTGAGCTGCTAGTTTGGATGAGGACACAAACAGACACAGAGTTGGGATTTTGGTCCATAGATAACAGTTTACAGTTCTTCAGATCATTCCACCCAAGGATTTCAAACTGCTCAAGCCACCAAGTGATGTTATTTTCATATAACACAAAAAGAAACAGAATTAAATTACTTGGTGAGAAAGAGGATTCAAATGTAATCCCAGCTCTCTGTTTTAAGCACTAGACTGTCTCAGCCTCTCCATGGGAAAATTAAAAGTCAGAAAATACAATCTTCCTGGTCTTTGTCAGAACAGTCTTTAATGAATCTTAGCCCATTTTTCCCCAGAGCTGACAGACTAAAGACGTTATTTTTCTGCTCACACAGTTATGTTATCCAGAAATATCAGTGCTGTTTATAAACATTTTCCATTTCTATACATTTATTCCCCATCTCAGGTGTATTCCAAAATGCAGATTCATTCAGAACCAGCACTGTTACAGCTTCACAACTCCACTATATTCCTGAAAAAAATTACTCCTGGTCAAGCTAGCAATGGAAATAACAACTGGCAAACTCTCTGCAGCATCACAGGGCTTCCTGTGGGTTTAAGGGCCATGGTGCTGCACAGAGGGACAGTGCCCAAACCACCCCAGGGCTGTGCCCAGCAGGGTGGGGAGCCCATGACCACCTTTCAGCCAGTCTGGGCACCTTACAGAGCAAAACCCTAATCCCACACCATGGGGATGCAAACAAATCAAAAGCTTTCCTAGGTCATCAATTTAAACATGGAGAAAGTTTAAAACTCAAAATATAGTTGATTTTGTGTAAAATATGTTTGAGAGAGTCCTCAAGAAACCAGTGAGCTCCTTGGGATGGTAGCAGCTCAAACCTGCAGCAGGTGGGTGGCTGAAGTTCTCCCTCCATCCCAGATGGGTGCACCAGGAGTCAGGAGCAGAGCACAGTGAGGCACAGAGAACTCCTGTAACCACACTGAAAGGAGATTTTTAAATAGCAACCTCCTTATCATGGGTTCCAAAAGGAGCAACACTGAATACTTGGAGTACCAACCCAAGAATACTTATTCACTCCACACCTTCTGCTCTTAAAAGCTTCTTCAATAGCTCCTGCTTCCACAACAGCTGTACTGATGCAATAAAATCCCTCCTGGAAAGCTGTATTTAGACCAAAAAAAAAACCCCAGATATGGATCAGAAGACAAAAATGAGCAGAGACTCTGCTGGGCTATTTTTGTGCACACACAAATAAGAAATCTTGGGTTAAATGAGGAGAGAGAGGGGGGAAATAGCAGCAGAGTGTGGAAGGGCTGTCCAGGCAGCTCCAAAGACACCATTCTCCAGAGAGACAGGGCCTAATCCGATGGCAGCATGTGTCTGTCACCAGCAGCAGCTGTAAGGGACGTGACAACATGGATAAACATATCAAGGCAATTTACACATGCACACAAGACAGACATCAGCACAGAGACATGAGCAGACAGCATGAACCACAAAAACAAGGTGCTTTCCTGTACAAGCATCCTCAATTATTGATTGTTTAAATGCAGTAGAGGAAAAAAAAAATCTCTTGTGTCAGTTTAGTTTAAATTATGAGGCAAACCAGAATCTCTGCTGGGAGAGTTGCTTCCAGGGCTGGGAACATCTTCCCAAGTCCTCCAATACTTTCTGGTTTAAGGATAAAATTAGGGCAAGGAGAGGAGGAATTCAGAACTCAAGGGGAACGAGGGAGACCAGCTCGGATGTGTCATAATCACAGTTTTCACATAAGCACTACAACTTTTTTAAGTGTATGGGAAGGTTTCTGAGATGAGAGGCTAAATTTGGTGTACTTTGAGTTCTGAAGAGAACTTAAGCCAAAAAAATCTCCCAAGGAGCTCCAAGAGCTGAGCTTCCAGAAGATACAGTGGTACTTACTTCATGTATTCCCCTAATGAAACATTTCAGACATTTTCTGTTTTATGAAACAGCAAATATTTACCTTGTTAGGAAAACTAACAGTGTCCACCCTCCCAACAGGGATATCTCAATATGCACAGTGCTAAATACAGTGTACAATCATACAATAGGTAAAAACTGGGACAGGCTTTATAAGGCTTGAACATAAAATTGACATATAGAGAGACACACACACACAGACAGTATTTTTAGTTTGAAATTTTTAAAAGCTAGAAATGAGGGCTGTGTTTGCTTTCAGCCTAAATTCTGTGCTACATTCTCAATATGCAAAGCCATTACTATTAATCACTTGTAAGCTGGAATATCCATAACAATAATTATTCTTGCATTACCAACCAAACAAAAAATATTACCTAAAATTCTGGCATTCATATTTTCAACATAAAGCTTCAGGGTTCAATATAATTAAAGGCTATTACTTTTACGTTTTTCTTCCCATAAGTTCCCACCAATTAACTTTATCTTCTAAAATAGTCCTTGTCACAGGGAATTGGTTCCCAAAATGTGCAGTGTCTCTTCCCTCCTTTGAAACATCACATCTCCTGAAAGAGAAAGTTCATCTTTCTAGTATAGAAGAGAAAGTATTGTTACTGCCCTTTGGAAACTTTGGTACATTCTTTCCCTTTCAGAGTAAAGCTCAAATTTATCCATTTATCCCAATTAAAGTTTAGAGAAAGATGCTTTGGCCAGGAACAGAATGTAGAGTTATCCTTGTTAAAAGGAGAATACAGGCAGACACCAAGAAGAGCACTTTCCCTAGAGCCATACACCCACAGTCCTTGTGGATCCATCTGCTGAGAAAGAGTTTAGTGAGAGCCTTGTGAGCCTGGACAAGGTCCCTTATGGCTTGAAAAACTCCAATTTTTCCCCAAGAGCCTACAAATCCCCGTTTTCCTGAGACACAGGGCTCCCTCACCTGAGTCTCCTCCTAATTAAAGCATCAGACAGCACTGTGCTCTCTCACAGCTGCCCACAGCCAAACAGTTGTAGCTCTGTTTTGATTCAGGATCATTGATCTCAGTGGCTGTGCTGTTCCTACCTGGGAGGGAAAGCCAGAGGAACGGGTCTTGCACAAAGGGACAGACCTGCCCATCAATTCCAGTACATTAGGCAGACCAGCAGGCTGGGAGCAGAGCACAAAGAGCCTCCCTTCAACAAGGAGAAACAAAACTAGAATTAGGGCCCTAAGAAAATAATTTAGTTGACTGGATATTGTAACATCCTGGGGGGCTTTTTTTCCTTGTTTTGTTTAAATAACTGATATAAAATAAATAACTGTACCTCTTTTGCTAGCAACAATGAGCACAAAAACCTTCCCAGAGCAGATTCTACCCTGCTGAAAGCATTTAGAAAAACAGCAGGGTACTTTCTAAACACATGGTACCTGGGGTGAGAGAGAAGAATGGGCAGAGAACTGATGCAAGCCATCTACTCAGAAACAGAATTAATCCCCCTTTTCATTTATTCCCACACAGGCCTTGAAACAATCCCCCCAAATGAGAAATAGAGACTATGGGGAGGAAGGAAATCTTTTCAGAGCAGCAAGTGCCAAAAGAAAGAGGACAGGGTATCAAAAGAGTGTAAAATAATTTGAGGGAAGAGATGGAGAAAGGAGAAAATGGTAGAAAAGAAAGCAAAAGCATGCAGGAGAGGAGGGTAAGGCAGACAAGGCAGATTTCAGGAGCTGTTTTGTTCTTCAAAAGCTGTCAACACATTTACAATGTGCTTTCCATCCCCCTCCTGCTTTACTGGGCCCGTGTACTCCAAGGAGCAGGAAAGCAATGACACAGGAACTGCTGAAGATTCACTTGGACACAGAACAGAGGTGCCCTGAGAGAAAGGAAACTGCTTAGTGATCCGTGCACAACAAACCATGATGGGGATGGTACAGGGCCTGAGCCTGGAGAGAGGGCTGGCAGGAAACCTGCAGAGAGCAGCCTCTTCCTGCAGAGATCACACTGGCAGCACTGACACTGGAGCACAGTGAGGCAGGCTGCACAGGGATACAGCTGCACATCAAATAAATGTTCACAGCAGAAGCTTATCCCTGCATTCTCGAAAGGAAGAGCCCAAAGGATTTGAGCAGAGAGTAAAATTTTTCAAAGTATCTGTTGCAATTTGCAGCCTAAACCCAGTGCCTGAAGCTCAGGAGCTCAGCCACATTACAGTGACTTAAATATCCCCTGAGTGAGGCTGTGCTGGAACAGCCCATCCTGTGTCACGTTCCTGGCAGGTACCACAGCCTGCCTGATGCATGTTCACTCATTCAGCTGCAGAATGGGATCACGCCTCAGCCTACAGATTTCTCAACACTGTCAAGGTTAAAATGGTATTTAGAGCCTGTGTAGGTACCTGCAGCTTTTTTTTTTTTTTTTTTTTTTAAGATCAACTGTTTTGGTTTCTACATTTGTGCAAGAGCGAGCCTGGAGATTAAAGCCTTCATTAAAAAAATCTTACCCTCTGTTATGCAGACTTTTACTCCTACGAGACAGGAAGCTGAGAGGCAGAGAGGCATCCTCACAAGGTACACACACACCTTGCAGGATGTTATTTGGGTGCTTCAACACCTCCCTTGCCAACTATAATTACTTGGACAGGTCTAACAGCTACATACAGTTCTCTCAGGAATCCTGTGCCCAAACCCACATCACCAAATGCTAAGGACATAAAAGGCATCCTTGGTCAAAAGCAAGGTTTGGTGGTATCCAGCCTTCTTCAGAACATAATTGTTGCTTCCATTTTAAAAAGCAGAGCTGTAATGAGGGAAACCCATTGGTACAACATAAATCATCTTTCTTGGAAGAAAGATGATTTATGTTGTACTTGAAGACTTTGTTCTTTCAAGATATTCATCACCCAGAGCAAGCCTTTTACCAATCTCTGTTGTTTTTCATCCAGACTAGATGCATCCTCAGACTAAAGAGCACATAAAGAGCTCCCTCACACACTCTCTCAGGAGCCATGGAGCTACAAATCAGCCCAGTGTGTATTATTAATGACAAGTTATCAGAAGATCTAGGACAACAGCCAGGCTGGCATTTCTCTGTGCTGTGATTCTATGGAGAAAATGAACCCTTTGCCAGGTCAGATCCCACAGTTTCCCTTGCTCCTGTCTCCACTGTGCACAGATTTGTGATAAGCCATTTTGTCACAGCAGCCAGGAGGTGATTACCCTGCCCCAGAGGCCTTACAACTGAGCTTAGCCTAAAAGACAAAGGTAACCAAGGGAGGAGACACTGGGTAGGGTAGAGGCACAAAAATCTCCAAGATTGTATCAAAAAAGGCAAAGTGAATTTTATTTTGGTGGCAGTTAAATGTTATTAGAGGAGTTCAGGAGCACCCATGTTGGCAGTTGTTAGAGCTGCAGTACAAGCCTCACAGATTCCATTTTCTGAGTGGTTACAGCTGTAGCACCTTCTAAATCCTTGGGTCCTGATTTATTCATGGCATTAGGAATGCAAAATGCAAGCAGAGGGAAGTAGGCCAACAAAAGAATAGAAAGCAGGGATACAGAGGAACCAGTTTCTTCATTCCAGCTGAAAACAGGTTGAAATTATTAACTCTTTCAGAGCAAGCTCTCTCTGAAAGGGCAGTAGACTCTGATGCATAAAGGTGCACAAATGAGCCTCCCACCACAAAATGAAAACGATGAACAGAAACACAAAGCAAACATGGCTTCAGAAGAAGAATGCAGATTAACTCTAGCCCAAGGCATTTGGATTTTCAGATGCATAATGCTCCCTGTGTCTGACAGGGAGGGGTTAATGGCTTTGGTTGTGTGACCAGATGTTCAGCTGGTGCAACTCAACACAGATCCATTAGAAATTAGTGGAGCTGTGGCTGCTTACCCCAGACAGGGTTCTGGCCCACTACTTTGAAATCCTATTTAATATCCACTCAGAGATTTTTCCAAAGGGAGAGGCCTCACTTTTTGAAATCAGATAAAAAGCTACTAGCAATGCTACAGGATGCAGTTAAACTGAAATGGCCACTGCCATGGCCTGTTTATGGTATTACAAAACCCCTAAATCAAAAACCTGCAGCAGCCTTGTGATAACAACACCCCAGCACAGTTGTTTCTGCTACAACTTCATAGTGTCCACCCACCTTACAATGGGCAGAAACCGGGCATGAGAGGTAAATCACTCATTAGTCACTTACCAGGAAATGGATGGGTCTTGAAATGTGTCCATTTTAGTCCTCAGAGCAGCTGTGGCCAGCCAAGTCTTTGAGCACATGCTTTTAACAGAAAATGGTCTGCAAAATTTGCTGTGATGATTCAAATGCAAAGAGCAAGCAGGGGGAAAAAGATAAGAAAATAGGTACAGTAGCACATTCCTCCCTAAAAGGGCCATTCTAACACTCAAGTGCAATGCTACTCAGATAGTTAAGAGGGGAAAAAGAGATGAAAAATGTCCAAATATCAAAAAAGACAAGAGTTACCACAGGATAAAGAGGCTAAAAGTCATCTCTGGTGCCCAATAATACCAGGCACATTTTTGCTGCATGGGATGGATTTTAAACAGGCATCTTGTCCATCCAATAAAACAAACAAACCCATAAAAAACAACTTGACATTAAAATGATCTGTCCTGTTGCTGTAGTTCTGCACTTCTAAGTGCCCAGCCTGTGTACTTGAATGTCAAAACTGTGCACAGTTTGCTTAAATACTTTCAAAATCCAGTGTATAACAAAGACCTGTGATGCTGCAAGTCTTCCATAACATGATTCTGTGTTTCCTCAACCAAACACCAACCCCAAGGGAAAACTGATCTCAAGACCAGTAACTGTAAAACATTCAGTATATCCTAAAGGATTCTCTATAAGCCCCTTTAAATACATTTACACACATCACACACTCTCTTAAGAGCCCTGGCATCTTTCACAAGTGAAATGAAGCCTCTGGCAGCTGACAGGAATGAACTTTCCACAAACTCCAAACAGCACCCAGCCAACAGGAAGCCTTGTCTTCCTGGCTATTGCTTCTTTGAGATTCCAGCATAAGTGGAAATAACATTTCCAACACCATTTTGAAGGTAGTGTCACAGAAAAATTATAATACTCATTATATGTTAGGGCCACATGTTGAAACATATCCACTTGGAGGAATTTTTAATAGGTGGAGTTTCTCCTGTTGAAAAAATATAATCAGGGTTTTAAAGATCTGTTTCTCTAGACAAAAATTAGCAACCAGCACTTACACTACTTGGGATAAGACAGATGAAAGAGAAGGGCAATACTTTAGACATTAACCAGATGTACTTGAGCTGAGAACTCTGGTACTCAACCAGTCTGATTTTGAGAGGATGAAGAAAGCAAACAGCTTGAGTGGCTCCAGAGTCGCTCTCAAGACTGATTCCTTTACTGAATCAAAGCACAGATTCACAATGCAAAATTCACTATCATCTAACCCAACTGTCAAGTGGTTACAACTCTGTTTCATAGTAGAAAAATAAAGTTCATTCAGATTTTGGAAACCTCAGTTCAGCTTCTACTCAGACTTAAAATGAAATGACAGGAGAAGATACATTTTGTAAAAGAGTTTTTTCAAAATGACACATTAGAAATATTTTACAGAATATATATTATACATATGTACTCAAATAATATACAACACCTACCAAGCTAAAAACACACAAAGGGAAAGTTACATTTGCACTTATCAATACAGAAAATGGTGAGCTGGTGGCAACACTGTGCAATAAATCATCAACTGAACTCCAGGTCAGTGTACTTTCCAGCTGTACTAGAACATCATTAGAACCAGAGTTAGCATAAAAACTGTTCCTTAAGCCTCAAAATGAAAATAAATTTCAGGAAGGTCAGTTTGGTCAGTCTGTTCAAAGTCATACAGAGTACAATAGGGGATTGGGAAGCTCACATTGCTCCAATCCAAGACATCCACAGCATTCCTGAAAGGCTGATGAAGATGTTTCTCATTACCTGCTGCTGAGGAAGGCAAAGCAGGTCACGGGTCAACATTACTTACAAATGAAGCACCACTGCTCACTGCAGTTTTGAGGTGGAAATTTTGTTTTGTTTCTCAATCAGAACAGATACTCCAACAGAGACACACCAGGGTGAAAAAGGTGGATGTCACATAGCTTCAGACCAGAGAAGTTTAGCAGGGACAAGAGGGGGTTCAGTGTTAGTGAACCAAGCCAGCCTCAACATCTGTGTCTTCACTTTCATAAGAGAGATGGCAGTACAAAAGTGCAGGTAAGAGTCAATGCTCCATTTCTCTTCTCTGAGAAAGGAAGAATTAGTGACAGAGTCCTTTAGAGTCTGCAAGTCTGCTCCAGATGACAGAAGAACTGCAGTGAGCCCCAGGTCACGCTTCCACATTGCCTGCCTGGCTGCGAGCAGCCTGGGAAACCCGACTGATGCTGCTCTCAATGAAGACCTTCAGCCCTTTCAAACCCTGGGTGTAGAGATATTCCAGATACCAGTCCCACTTCTTCCCCTGTAAACCAGAAAGAAGAGTCAGATGTGCAGAACAAAGGTTTACCTTTCTTAAGCCAATTTGGAAAGGTCTGCAAACTCTGCCTTCCTGTGGGACAACATCCACATGTTGGGTGACATCTGTAAATATCCACAGGGGTACAGGGTCATCTGCTGGTCCAAAATGCCCACAATTACACAGTACACATTCTTAGACTGAATAATGATCTTTCTTTAATACTAAAAGTTTTTATAAATCCCACTTCTAGAAAAAGAAAAGTCTATTGGATCAAGAGGGAATATGTCAGGAACTCAATAAACATGGCTATTAAAGCCTTCCTTCCATCACTAGTGGTGATTCCTCCAGATCAGGTTTGAAGTACTCTGTGGCATAGGAAAGGAAACCAACTGCCACAGTATTTGCTCAGTGGAGGATTCCTGGTCAAAGCTGTTACAAAGCTACACATCTGTCTCAGAAATATAATATGAAGCAGAATGTGAATTATCAATGAACTTCAGGTGCATCAAGAATGTAACTTTTTCTGGAGCCTGGAGAGCAATAAACAGCCCTGTCCTGACACTGCACTGACTCATGAAGGAAATACATAAAATCTCAAATCACTAGCCACAGATACTTAACTTTTCAGGTGTTGATGTCCTCTTGTTTGGCCCTGTTAAGAGACTGAATCACAGCCTACAGCTGGAATTTTTCCCCTTCCAAAATTTTTCTAGAGCATTGGTGAGTTTGGTGAATATTATAACCACATCCTCTTCAACACAGCTGCTGAAATTTGCCTGCTTTATTTACTAAAACAACAAATCTTACCTTAATTAATTTGAAGTTGAAGGTGGTATCATCAGGACAAATCTTAAGGAAAGGAAATAAAACAATATCAAGTCAGATAAAAAGTATGTCCAGGGTTAGTGGGTCTTTGTTAAGTCCTCTCCTAAATCAGGAAGTGCAGACATGCAATGAAATTCAGAGATTTTTTAATCCTGCTTCAGAGGGGGCTTCCAGCATCATACCCTGGGCATAAGTGGCAAAGAAACATCTGGACCCTCTTGACCTGTGCTGCAGCATTACAGGATAGCAACAGGGAATATTCATAGGTATCTTTACCATTGTCTCTCTACAGTGTAAAGTCTCCCTTTCTAAACATCATAAATTCACAAGAATGAGCAAGAGCAAGAGGAGAGAAGTGACACTGAAATCAGTGTTTGTTCCCCCAGTGCTGCAGAGCAGTGCCCTCTGGTGTCCCTGCAGCTCAACATTATTTCCTCCTGCCTCAAAACACATTTGTCATAGCTGCTAAGCAAAATTTCTTCTAGTTCTACAGTAGGAAGAGAATGCAAGAATTCCCCACCAGAAGGTTTTGGGGGTTTTTTAAGGGATTTTGAGGTTGGGTGTTTTTTGGTTTTGTGTTATGGTTGTGGGTTTATAGTTTGGGGTTTTTTTTTTTAACATGCAAAACTTATAAAAAAAAATTAGGAACCTGTGTCAGGGAAAGTTTAGGTTGGATATCAGGAAAATGTTCTTCCCACTGAGGGTGATTGGGCACTGGAATGGGCTCCCCAGGGAAGTGGTGACAGCACCAAGTCAGACAGAATGCAAGAAGTGTCTGGGAAACACTCCCAGGCACAGGGTGGGATTCTTAGGCTGTCCTCTGCAGAGGCAGGAGTTGGACTTTATGATTTCTGTGGGTCCCTTCCATTGCAGGTTATTCCATGATTCTAGGAAGCCTCAGAACAAAAATTATGTGGACAAAAGATATGAGATATATACAACTTCTTTCCTTGGTCCAACAAAATCAAAATAGTTTCCTTGAGCAAAGACAAAAGCTGAGTTTAATGAGCAGTAAGACACAAACTAGCTTGATTCAGGACACTGAGCACATAACAAAGGCTAATTTGTCAAGTGTTCCTAAACACAATCTTTGCTTCAGCTTCTCAGGTGGCCCTTGCTGCATTCCAGGAGTCACACCTACACTTGCTCGAGCCTGCCAGAGTCTCTCACAACAAACTGGCATCTCTGTGCAGCCCTTGGACAGCCTACAGAACCTGGCTTCTTGGAGCAGCACACACATCTTGGGGCAGTAACAGCTCTGGCAAACTGCTCTCTGCACTCTTCAGCAGCTGCACTGAACACATGGGGGCACCAACAGTTCAAGGGAACTCCTGGCAGAACTCACCAGACAATGCAAGACAGCTCCATGTTATCTTACCTCTGTACTTGAAGCAGCTGCTTGTATTTCTGTTTTAGTAAGCCAAAAAAGCTACCACAAGAGCCAGAAAGCACTGCTAACAAATTCTAGCATGAACAGCTGTAGATAATTTAACCATGCATTCCTTGACTTTCTAGAGTTTAAATATTTAGATCACACTGCCTATTTTGTGGGGCAGAATGCACCTTTGGTAAGCTTTTACTGAAGTGTAATTTATTTCATTAATTAACTATTTTAGGTCTATCTCAAAACCTTCATGAGTACAAATTCACATCCAAAACTGCTACATTCATACATTCAACTGCTCTCATACCACACAAAGAAAGGCTCTTCAACAAATTGTGCCAATAATCTAACAAACACAGAATGCCACAGCAGCTTTTGAAAGCTCAGTTGCCTCTACCACTCAGCCAGGACACAGAGACACTTCTCAACAGAAACAGTCAAGACAGAACATGTGATGCCATGAAAGATCCAAATGTTGGCCTACACCATTACCTGCTGCAGGAATTGAACAGAGTAGCCCATCATGGCTGGATGATAGACAATGTTAAAGCTGGTTTTTAATTCCTTCACTGCAGTTTTACTCAGCAGTTTATCATCCATACAAAGGCCTTGAGGATGAATATCCTTCTTGAATGCACTGGATGTCCACAGACAGCCCACCATAGCTATTATGTACTGGTTGTACTCTTGGTATGTCTGGCTACTGAACTTGAACTGCAGGATTTTCTGAGGGGGGGAAAAAAAAAATCAATAAATAGCATCCTCAAAGCAGCTGTGTGCTCCCTCCAGTCCTTAAAAGATGGCCATTAGTACACCTCCCCTCCACTCAACCCAGATCCTTGCTAAAGTCTGCTCTAGCACATAATGTGTCCACCAATACCTTTTTACTCAGCTCATTTTCTTTTGCAGCCACTAAGTTGGTTCGATACCTGAAAAAAAAAAGCCAAAATAAAGAGAAAGTTAGTGGCCTGTAAATTTTTACTATATGTCTGTGTTGAAAAAAGCTGGAGGAATGTATCAAGAAAACTTACTTCCACCATGAGAAAGATCATCCAACTTTATTGGTGGAAGAGAGAGACATGAAAAAGGATTGAAAGGGACTTTATCACTTGGCAGGGTAGGGACATATCTAATAATATCAGTCTCTTAAATGATTCACACATGACCAGCTTGCCTGGGACAGTCACCTTCATAAATGCAACACACAAGAATGGAGATCCAGCCTTTAAATCAGCAGAGAAATGCAGTGTGTTTTTAAGAAGGGAGACTTTCATTCACTAAGCAAAGAAACAGAAGCCACTGGAAGTAATGCAAGTTGACAGTTGTTCTATATAATAAGCACTAGCTCTTCTTATTTCCTAGAGACCTTCCTGTCATGTTAATTACCCTGCAGATTGCTTAAGAGAAAAAGCCACATGGAGAGCCCTGCACCAGCTGTCAGCTATTGGCCACTCTTCTCCTCAGATGCAGCCACTGGAACTAACAAGGCCAAGAAGTGCAGCCTTGGTGGTGGATCCTGCAGAGCAACAAACAGTGCTGTCTTTGGCCTTGCCAGCAGCATGAGGCAGTCCCAAACTCCTGGAGTTTGGAGGTGGAAGAAGTGCTTCCTACTCAGCACATGGGCACATGGCAGAACTTGTAAGGAAAACTCAAGTGTAGTAGCCAAAGAAGAGGAGTGAGAAGTTGTATAGGTACTACCATTAATCCCAGCTGGCTGACTGGGGAACTTCTTCCTTCACATATCAAAGATATGGAAATAATAGCAGGACTCTGACCTCTTTCCTGGTATCTTGGATAACAGACTTGAAAAAAAAAAAAGGAACTACAGCTGTAAAATCCTTTATCATGAAAGCTGGACACAAGTGGAATTTTTTCCTTTACCTTGCACAGCAAGAAGTAGATTCCAGGTTTTAACAACAAAGTCATTTCATTTCCAAAAGACTGAAAGAAGACAAGGAGTCCTTGCAGCCCACCCCTGTTGCAGTACCTGTACATAATGTAGCAGAGCTGATTCAAGTTGACAGAATCCATGCTGAGCAGTGCTGGGTAGAAAACCCCAGCAGGAGGCATTATCAGCAAAGGTAGGTTGTACTTCAGGTACATGTCACACACCTGCAGGAATGAAACACATCCAGGCTGATTATTACTGCCAAAGTAATGATTATTACAAACTGCCAAGGGAGTCAGAGCAACAGAGAGCATAACACTGAATTCCAGCCAGATCATCCAGAAGGGAAGGCCAGGGTGTCTTACACAAGTGTTGATACCCATCAGTTTTGTGCATTTTTAGTGGACAAATTCAGTTACAAATAGATCCCAGAACTGTCATTGTTTTTTCAGCTATTCCCAACCTGAATTGTAGGAACTGTTGCTGTTGTTACAGCATGGCTGGAGCTCACAATAAGCACAACTACAGAGAGGACATGAGGAAGCTGGAGAATACCTAAGGCTATTTGATGCTGTTCAGTTTACCTACAGTATAAACTAAGAAAAAACCCCACATTTTTAAGGAAACATTTAACAAAAAAAACCAAGATATGTTGTTTGAAATGGAACTGATCACTGTTCTTTTCTTTAAAGTCAGCATTAAAAAAGCAGGTTATGGCCTACTGTTAATTCTCCTTCCTCAGTTCACCTCTGAATTAAGAGCAACCACTTTCTAGCAGCATATTTACTTCTGCCTGTGGATGCAACAAAAGCAGCTTTCTGCTGCAGAATATTCCACATACCACCAAGTATTTTTTTGTACCAATCACAAAGTTCTGTAAACTAGAATGAGGAAGAATGTTTTTATGCTCTAGCTTAAAAATGCAAACAGCCTTAGGAGTACTTGAAAAGAAAGACAAAATGACTGGGATACACACAGTGCCATAGAAATCCAGAATGAAGTAGAGCAGGAAGGTGGAATTGTTCTCCAAACGCAGTGCAACAGTAGAGATCCATCCCACAAAGTGAACCAGCTCAGCCACCACGTTCACTAGCCCACACAGGGTGGTGTTCCTGCAGCAAAGACATGGCACAGAATTACAGATACTTCTTTGCAAACAGCAACATGGAAAAAGGTAAAACAAAATTGAAATTTATGCTTTTGCCCCATCAAATACTCAACAACAGATACTTGTTCTTCAATACAGGCAGTAAGACATTGTTATCAGCACCATTATGAACACCCAGCTGTCAGTGTTACGAGGATTTTGAATTCTGGACACTTCAATTTCCAGTGTCAGCAGAAATACTTCTAAAGAAAGACAAAGAACAGGCCTGACAAGGTGGCTTACAACATAGCAGAATCATAACTGCATTATTAACCTTCTGGTTGGTCTTTAGGCTGGGTGTTAGGGCTAGAATATAGATCTAAGTACACTGTTGAGCAATGCACAGAACAAGGCTCACATTCTTTAAAGACAAACAGAAGAAGACAGAAGAAATCTGTCAAACATCTTACACAGAAGAAATCTCCAAATCCATTTGAATCACATTGCAATTTAACCAGTTCTGCAACAGCTCCTTCAGGCTCTCAAGAACACTGCACTGCAATAGGCAAAAAGAAATCAGGTTGATGACAATTTATGCAAGAGAATAATTCCAAACAAAGAATGCCTTGAGAAATGGTATATCCAAGGAAAGGTAGCAGGAGTTTCTCAGGAGCAGTGACATAGTTGCATGGCCCCTAGAACTGATGTATGTATGTGTTGTATATAGCTTTTCCTGGAGAATGTGAACTTCAAGTACTGAAAAAACTGCAATAAAACTGTTTAAACAAGTAGTTAAAACTGCAATAAAACAAATGAACTATTGTGTTGTGTGCTATCAGTTCTTTTTATCTCCAGTGCCCCAGCTTAATTCCAGTCAAAAAAGGAAGCTATCTTAAAGCACCTATTTCCTAAAGAAGTTAAACTGTAAATATGTTTTATCCTGTTTGGGCAGAGACTTCTCAAAAAGATGTTTCCTATAGAGTCCCTCAGACTGCTACCCCTAACACAAGTACAGATAGCAGTATCAACTAGAACTAAACAGCCATTGTGGTCATTTGAATTACCTTAAAGTAAATAGATGATGTGAAAAAGAGCTGTGCCAGGGGATCAAAGAGATATGGCTTAATGTCTGAAAAAAATGAGAAAGCAGTATGATATCAGTGCACAAATTCTATGCCCTGAGATATCCCCACAGTCCAAGCTCACCCAAAGAATCTGAGGCACATACCAGAGAAACTGCTGAGGGGGATCCAACTCACGAGCCTCAGGATTTCTGAGCGGCAGCAGATACCATCCCAGAGAGGAAGGGTCTTATACAGGAACTCTTCACAGGCAGAAAATCCCTCCTGAAAAGCAGAAGAAAAGCATTCAAAAAGTCAACTGACTGCAGCTTGCCATGCTCACATCACTCTGGAGAAAGCAAGAGGCTCACAGCTCATTCCTGCCGTACTTGCCAGGATATTCAAATTATCATTCTTAGATTATTTTTCCTGCAGAAAACAAGGCCATTTCCAGAATATTGACTTGCCATAGGTACAGGTATTTTTATCACTTGAGTCACTGTCTCAGAAATACTACAGGAAACAGGTAAGTGCCAGAAGCTCTTTAAGGGAAGACTTTGTGAAAGCCTTGGCTTCCACAAAACACATTTACCTGCAAGAAACATTCTGCCTTGTAAGCAGTTTCCAGGAAGCTCTTGAATTCTTCTTCATATGGGTTATCAACCACACACCAGGTGCATTCTGAACAAGAGAGAATACTGTACTTGAATACGAGCACAGCAAGAACAAGCACAATGAGAAACCAAATTCAGCTCTCCTCCAGTTGCTGTTTTAACACTCTATGGTTATCACTGTACATCTGAATAGCAAAGAACCATTACTGAAAAGTGAAAAGCCTCAGACATCCCTTAGCTCCCTACCTCACAAGATAATACTGAAGTTCTTACCTTCCTGGAGCCTCTGGCCCATCCAATAGTAGAGCCTCAGGTAAATAGATTCATCTTTCACACAATTCATGTAGTGAAGCAATAAGGGGTTTGTCAATACTGAACCCATCTGGGAAGGAAACTGCAAGAAAAAAATAAAGAATTACTCAGTATTTACATCAATAAACTGCCAGAGAACCTCATGTCCAATCTTTTTATCACCACAAGACCATTCACAGGATTCATCCAATCTCCTCAGTTAGGACTAGAAGCTCTGTTAGAATTAGGTAGCCCACACATTACTCACATATAAATAGGGCATTGAAGGCCATCCTTTAAATCTCCCAAAATATTCACCAAGAACTTCCTGAAACTCACCTCTAGACGGTGGATATTCTGTAGGAGCTGAGGGAAGGTCTGCAGCTGCTCCACTGGAAAAGACTCGTTTGGACTGTACAAATAAAACCAGTTCTTTTCTCTGTCCTCTTCTAAATGATTTGTGTTTGCACTGCTTGCAGGTATAACCAACTGGGCATTCCATTTCTGTAGAAAGGAAACACAAATGACTCAGTTTCCAATGCAATTGGCTGCACTCATGAGCAGCATTCCCAGAAAGACCCAGTTTTACAAAAAAGGTATCCAGGCTTCATTAGAATTGATTGTTGCATTTTTCTATAGTTACTCCCCACTTTCCAGTGCTGAAATAAAGTCAGACTCCCATTATTTGCCAATATTCCTAATGAAAAGCACTACTTGGCACCTTCCAGGGTGTGCCTCAGGCCCATAACATACCCTTTTTCGTGACTGAGGTTGAGATGTGCCTAAAAACACTGCTTGGGACAGGGGAGAGGTTCCTTGGTTTCTCTGCCTTACTGCAGTGATTGCTGCTTTCCATGGGCCCTCTGAGTTCTTGAAGTAAGTCTGGAAACAGAAATCAGACATCCATGCAAGAAGTTAAGCCAAGACAAAGCAATAGAAAGATCACTTTATATTCTGATAAACATCACCACAGTCATGTAGAGACACTTGGCTCTACTTGACAGATTTTCCCAGCACAGAACTCTCATCATCCCTTAGTTTCATCACCTTTGGTCTACAATTCAACAGTTGGGCTTTTATTTCCTTTGGAAACAACGTCCCCCATTTCAGCAGGGATCTCCAACACTTCTATCTTATACTCTTAATTCAAACCAATCATCAACTCATAGATTAAATCTCAAGTATACCTTAAAATTAAACATGACCAAAGTATGCTCAGTTAATAGAAAAATTTCCAGAATTCAGCATCAGTGGCACCCACATAACAGAACAATGCCATGAATAACCAAATACTCAAATTAATGTAGATATTACTACAGCCAATTGGAAAAGCTAACGCCTTTTCTGCAGAATTTTTTTTGACATTTCAATGCCAAGCAGTCTTTAAATTCTAATCAAGTGCCAAACCATCACAAAAGTATTCAGATTGGCTTGGACATAGCTAATCAAGCTTTTAGTACACAACACTGTGTTCATAAGGACAGTTGTAGAAATATTTGGGATCTAGTTGCTAGGAATTTACTGCACTTCTAAAAAATGCAAATGTGCATGTTAAAAAATGTAAATTTTCCAACAGATGACTGTGCAGCACAATGCAAAGTAAAAATTTAGAGAACAATATAAACACACAAGCAGATTGAAATAAATTTTATTGAAACTCAATTTGTCTGCATATAAATTGTCTGTTCTAAAAAAACAACAAAAAATCTCAAATTTTTAAGTCTATCCCACTGAAATAAAATTTTGTTGCACAATTTAGGTCTCCCCAGATGCTGTTTTCTCTTCTATATCTGGTTCTGCTACATGTTTCTACTTGGCCAAAGGGCTGAGCACAGAGGCCTCTCTAAAAGGGGAATTATTTTTTGCTGTTCCTTGCAGCTCTGACAAATCCATTTCCTACATTTTTTATCTGCTTTTTTCTCTCTCCTATGACACAAACTTTCCAAGTGCAGAGCTACTTACTGACTTCCATTGCCATTTGTACTTGAGAATGGCAGCAATTAGAACAATACCTTGACAAATTAGACAGTTTGTTTCCTTCAGAACATAATATTGTGTGAAATAATAATAATGAAACCCAGCAGGAACGGCAAAAGGATTAAAGTAATCCTCATAGAATAAAGGTAGATGTCATTCCTTACCAAATCATCTCATTATGATGAAAAGGAAACAAAACACAAGGCAAAGAATCCTTATCTAAACCTGATTTTACTCAGTGAAAAGAGAAAATGGAATTAATCTTCACCAGTAAATCTGCTATAGCTTAAATAGAAAGCTCCATACAAATACTGTAGTAAATCCTGGTTTTGAATTGACTAAATCTAATTCCTTACCTTCATTTTCCCAGGAAGGGTTATGGTCACCTGTTCTGGGCAGAAAAGTTTGTAAAGTGATAGCAGAGCTTGCAGATGAGACTGCATTCCCTGTAAAATAACAGAACAAGAGGGAGAATACATGAGGTATGTTTTAATATAGAAACTGAATGCTGTATTTTAGAAGCAAAAATCCCCAGTGATCAGTAAAAGTTAAATTCCCAGAGCTACACACGATCAAAGAATCATAGATAAATAACTGAAACTGACAGAAACAACAGAAACTGGGTCAATCAAATAACAATAACAAGATGACTGAAGACCTTTCTGTAGTCATTACTGATAGAAAGGAATTTAACAAAGTTATAAAAAATAATCTTCTGCTGTGTAAAAAACATGTTATTATAGCTATGTTTTTTTCTTTTACAAAAAGGAGCAAGTCCTCTACAATCTTACATTTTTCAGACATTTTTGGTACCACTTGAAAAAGGAAGATGAATAGGAAATTAAAGACTAACAGATAAATGAAGCTGCCCCTTGCTTCAGAGATTTTACCATACATGGTCACATTGATCTCTGCATATATCACTGCATGTGCTCACAAAACACACATGAAAATTAGGGATGCACATGCAAGAGAAACTCTGATGCCACAAAGACTAAAACCTACAGTTCCAAGTCCAGTCATTCCTCTCCACTGTGTAAGGACATCAGACTTAGAGAGTGTATTATTAACCACAGTCCAAACTGTACAACATCTGAAATCAACTCACCATTTTTGCTTGGAGGTCAAGCAGTATCCTAATCCGAAAAGGCTTGACTGGAAATACAATTAAGAATATAAAGGATTTTAAAAATACCATAGTAGACATCTAAGCAAAAGTTACATAAGTAACATTTTTATTATAAAATCATGACAAAGCAAGCAGAACCAATAATTCTTATCTCTAGGGTAATAGAGAAGTTTCCAATTCAGCAAGTGTTACACCAGGTTTTGCCTGAACTACCATTCACTCTTCCTCACATTAAAAGCACAATATTGGCTAATCACTGTATCAGCTGCATTGGAAGAAAAGGCAGCACCAGCAAACAGAATCAGAAATAAAATGGTATTTTAGCTCATACAGATGGGACTCACCATTTTCCTTCCTGGTCAGCAGGTAGAGCAGGTGGCAAACGTAGGGACACTGCAAAAAGGGCAGCCATGAGCTCTCCTGCTGCTTCAGACACAGCCAGGACACACAAAAACCACCACAAAGACAGCCCCACACAGCAACTTCATTTAAAACCTCATCTGCACTCTGAGCAGTCCTGACTGGAACCAAGCTGTTTAATTAACCTGGATCATTTCTTTTGGAACTTGGTCTAGAAATTACAAGAGTGAGCAGTGAAAGTGCAATTACATTTTCAAAAGGAAAGGCACCTTTGAACCAATATACTTTTTTAGAACTTTTAACTGCAGTTGAGGCTGTAAAGAGTCTTAAACTAGTTTCAAACTAACTCTGATGCACTTTCCAACTGATGCACTTTCCAACTGACTCATCATATCTGAAAAAGCTATTTCAAACATTAAGGCCTTAAATCCAGTTTTATTGAAAGATTATAAATGAAGTTAATCTAAAACCATTAAAAATATTACAAGAAATATAACTCAGAACTTTGGGAACTTGTTTTAACTATAAAATATCCTAAAGTGAAAGTATATTAACAATTTCATACCTAACATGACTGCCAAGATTATCTTATTATGCACTGAATCCAAGCACTTTGAAATTCCTGGATTTTACAGTTGCCATATGGCAGAAATTGCCTGAATGCTTGTACTCTTTTAAGCTATATTTCAAATTAATTAAGTAGAACAGCAATTAGTTTCTCACCTTAAATAAACACTGCTCTAAATTTTTTCCTTTTTTTTCCCCTTTTTGCCCAGGTATACAAGTCAGCTTCTGCCTAGGAGCAGGAGACTTTACCTGCAGATGTCTGACAATCCCAGAGGCCACTGTTACTCTTGGGAATTCATACAGAATAAATGTTCACACTCTTGTAATACAGCGTAGCAATGCTTGGAAACATGTTAAACAGACAGACCACAGCAATCTTACAGTGCTTGCCTGTTTATGGATCTAAATTACCCAGCAATCTTACAATGCAAAGAGAAAATAAAAACAGAAATCCTGCCATCAGAAAATGGTCTCTAATCAACACCTACTCCAGACTAATTCTAGCATTAATATGTATACTACTAATGAACATTTAGGTTTATTTTATCAGCTCCATATGTTCTTCAGTTCTCCTTACCATCTTCTCATCTTGCAGGAAGGAGAAGAAGAAACCATAGAGGGCATGAAGCTGTTCCTTGTGATCAATGAAGTCAAACACTGTGATCAGCCACTTCAAAAAAAGCAGCTGCAGACAGGAAAAAAAACCCACATGACATTAAGTGATGGGCAAAAGCAAGGCAGGGGAATCAGAATCCAGCTCCAGAGACATGATCAGTAAGGATACACACCATTGTCAAGGATAACCAGGGAGCTACAAACAGTCCAGGGGGATTCAGATGAAGAAAGTCTGCCAAGGGATTCACCAGGTAAACAACTGACCCCATCACTGCTGTTGGCAACTGGGTTTTGGTTTCTAGAACCATGGGACCCTATCTGTGTATCAGTGGTGATTGGGAGAGAGGGAATCCAATAAACAGGACACACATGGGCTCAGCCTGGAGAAAAGGAGGCTCAGGGGGATTTCTCACTATTTACAACTCTCTAAAAAGAGGCTGAATTGAGGCAGGGGTCTCTTCTCCCAAGCACAAAAGGGATAGGTCAAGAAGAAACAAGCAACAAGTTCTGCCAAGGAGGTTGAGATTGGATAATAGGTGAAATTTCATCATGAAAGGGTTGTCAAGCACTGGCACACACTGCCAGGGAAGTGGCTGAATCACCATCCCTGAAGGGATTTAAAAGATGTGCAGCTGTGGCTCTTGGGACATGGTTGGCTTGGCAGCAGTAGATTAATGGTTGGATTCTGTGTCTTAATCTTTGCCCATCTAAATGATTCTACCACATAAACCTTTGAGCAGACCATATGAACATAAAAAAGACTCTTTTCCTAATGTTAGTCATGTTGCCACAACCAAGGTGCACATGACCTGAGGGATACCTCACTGAAATTAAAGGATGCCTCTCATAGTAGAAGTATTTCATAGAAATCTTGGTGTAGACACCATTCCTGAGGAGTTCAAAGATACAAGATAAGCAGGAACCAAATCTCCACAGAAACTTAATGTGTTTCTTGGTTGCCCATTCCAACAATGGGCATCTCTGCCAGTCTTGGTAAATGACAGTATCTTGTGTAAGATCTTGTACAATAAAACCTCAGGATTTCTGAATCCTCAAAATACCCAGTTCTTATGGTTCCTGTACAGAAGCAATAACTACTGTAAACACTTACTAAGTTACCTGGATGTTGCCTGAGCATTTGCCAACACAGAGCCAAGACACAGCTGTAACCACAGAATTTTCTGGTATCACTGAGGCAGGAATCAGGCTCTTCAATAAACGAGTATTCACTGTATCAGCTGGAAAAAAAAAAAAACAATTTCAAGTAAGATGGTGCTCATGTACCAGGTTCTTCAATATTGTTCTGCAGCTTAAGTCAAAATTCCCTCTGGAGTAAATTATTTAGAGCTTTCTTGCTCAAAGTAATGGTGTGTATGAATTTAGTAAGGACTTACCTCTACCTCAAAATGATGACAAATAATTCATTCCAGCTTAACAAAAGAAAATGGAAACTACACCAAATCATGCCAGAAAAATTAATTTTATGCTACAGTACCATAAACACGTTCTCTCAGCAGGTTTGATTAGAGGGGAAAGGCACATTCACACAAGATACACCAGCAGTATAGAAATGCTGTACCAAATCTGCCACTGAGCACCACGTTCAGCAGTATCTCAAACCCTTCAGGGGGCAGCCCTTGTTTCAGGGCAGTGCTTTCCACAGCATCCAAGTGTTTCTGCACAACACTCTTCTTCTTCAGTGCAACACAGTCTTGAGCTAGGAAAAAGAAACGGGACAAGCACAGGATGAAACAACTTCTGAACAGAAATTAACTTAAAGCTTCTCTGGACTGCCCCTGCACATACTCCTTTTTCTTGACATAGTAACAAAGAAGAAAAACTTCTAAGACATTAAAGAAACATTACATAGCTCAGGGGTTAAAGAGGGAAAAGTAAAATTATTCTAAAATTATTAATATTATAATAAGAAAGATGTAGAGAGACTTCTTACAAGAGCATGTAGTGACAGGACAAAAGGAATGGCTTCAAACTGAAGGAGGTTTAGATGGGATATTGGGATAAAATTCTTTACTATGAGGGTGGTGAGGCCCTGGCTGAGGTTGCCCAGAGAAGCTGTGGCTGCCCCATCCTTGAAAGTGTTCAAGGCCAGGCTGGATGGGGCCCTGAACAACTTGATCTACTGGAGGGTGTCCCTGCCCATGGCAGGGGAGCTTGGTCCTTTCAATCCAAACCATTCTATGCTATTTCTTTAGGTTTTTTTTACATTGTAGTAACACAAAACTAAGACATTAAAGAAATAATACATAGCTCAGGCATTAAGGAGGGAAAACAGAAATAATTTTTTAAATTAAGACTGCAGCTATCATCATCTCAATCCTAGATAGCCACCCCAAAAAATTTCCTCACCTTTCTCAAAGTAGCTCAAAGCTTGCTCTAGAGACCCTTCCTGGCTCTCATAGTTCTGATCATTAGCAGATTGATTATTCTGAAAACTTTTTTCAGAGTCAATTTTCCCTCCTTTTCGCCAGGCAGAGAGATCAGTTTGGCTTTTATGGTGAACATGCAGAGGCTGCTTTGGGGTCTTGGAACTCCTCCTTCGTTGCATTTTTTCAGACTCCCAGCTGAGACTGGAGAATTTTACTCATTTGTCACGTGAGAGCCAATCCTTCCTTAGGTAAGAAAAGAGATCAGCTGAGGAATGTCAGAGAGCTGGTTCCCTGCAAGGAAAAGAAATGTTTATTTTCCTGACAAGCAGATTTTAGAGGCATCCTGCATAACATGAGAGTAAATTCAAAAGAAATAGTTTAGAGCTGACTGCTCCCCAAAAGATCAGACAGGATCCTCAAAGATGCAAAGACAACAGTGTAACAAAACTCTCATCTTACATTAAAAAGGAAAAAAAATCCCAAGTAAAAATTAACACAAACTCCTTTCAAGTTAAACATTATCTGATACAATCTTATATAGCATTTTGATAAAAAAATCAACATAACCAGAAAGTTAACATAACAAGTTTTATTCTAAGTTAATTTTGTACATTATTATTTTCCTTACTTCTATTGCATGCACCAATACAACCTAGTCAACGAGTCACGATTCTCTGCAAGGTTAGGTACAGATTGTAGAGGATCATAACAACACTTTCCTTCCTATTTCACAAAAATTAGATTATTCTGCAGCCTTCCTACTAAGCAGCTTAGATTGGAAAAAATAAGAAATTTGGGTAAATTTCCAGATAAAGCACAAGAGCTACCAACAGTGCCAAACTGCACAGCTGTGGGTGAAATACACCCACAAAAAATGGCTTTTTCTCCTCAATATGCCAGAGAGATCAACCTTTTACCCATAAAATAGGAAATTTTGCTACGATCTCCTGAACTCAGTAGAGTGTGCACCCCTGTCCCTGGATTGCTGGAACCTATCTTTCCTGACACAATAAAACACAATGACTTTCTATTCATACTCCTCTCACTTCCTTACGAGGTTCCAATCATCCTTATTTCCCTATAGGTGTGTTTGTCACTTTCCTGTATAGCAAAGCTCGGTGACCACACTCAAGAGTACAGACCAGCTTTCTCTCAGCTCCCTCAGCACCTTCTCTACATATGTTTTGTTTTCTTTTGGCCCGCAGGAGTTCTACCAGAAAGGTTTGGTGAAGGAGAGAGCGGCTGGAAGGGCAGTTCTGGCTGACAGCGAGTCCTTCGGTGCCGACACGAGGAGCGTGGCAGCAGCACCCCTCACCCCCTTCCCCTGCAGCCCCCACCGCGATTTCCCCAGGGCCGCCCGGGCCATCCTGAGGGGACGGAGGTGGCGAGGCCTGCCCGGCCCTGGGGAAGTCACTGACCACCCCCTCACACAGCCGCCGACCCTCCCGCTGCCCTGGCCACTGAGTGCCCCTCTCACAACCACTGCCCATTGCCGGCACTGACCACTGACCCTCCCGCTGCCCTGGCCACTGAGTGCCCCCCTCACGGCCACTGCCCATTGCCGGCACCGACCACTGACCCTCCCGCTGCCCTGGCCACTGACTGCCCCTCTCACGGCCACTGACCACTGATCCTCCCGCTGCCCTGGGCACCGACCCCCGCCGCCACGGCCACTGACCCTGCCACCGCCCTGGCCCCTCACCATCCCACTAACGGTCCGTCTCTCGGGGCAGCACTGACCATTGCAGGGCAGTTGGCCCTCTTGCCGCCCGGGTCACCCTTCCCACATCCGCCTCCCGCCGGCTCCAACCGTCCCTGCATTCAAACCCCGCCGCCACCGCCCGCACATGCGCACTGACCGCCTGACTGCGCGGCGCGGTCCCGCCCATCCACCCAGCTGCGCATGCGCAGCTCCGTCACCGCGTGCGGTGGGCGGGAATGACGCCGGGCGCGGTTGCGCATGCGCGGTGCGTGGAGGGCGGGAACTCTCAGTGAAGGGGGGGGAGTCCCTCCCCTCAGGTGTGTCCGCATCCCTCGGGCTGGGAACGGCAGCCTAAGGCTACGTTTTAAAATAGAGAGGCGGGGAAAAAAGGCACAAATAAAGCGAGGCAGTAACCCTGAGGCCGACCGGAATGAAATGAGGGGCGTGGAGAAGAAATAGAAATAAAGAATTAAAGAAAAAAAAAAAAAGGGAGAGTAAATTAGCATCGAGGTCTTAGAGAAGGAGCGGATCTGTTCTTGTCACTTCCAGCGTGCACAGATGGCTGGAAGCGTCCAAAAATAGCTGTTTAATGCTGAGGGGCAGTGACAGAGGTCAGCCCGCTAAGATAAATACAGAATTCTTATTTCTGGGCTCCAAGATGAGTTGTCTCGTTCTTTAACAAAGAACGTGCAGCCTCTTCTGCGGGTCAGTTGTTCATATCCATGCAAATGTGAAAAAAGAGGGTTTTTAGTAGTCACTGAACAGTCTGAAGCTTTTACAGAGAAAGGCTTTGCTCCATGGGATGCTTTATTATTATCATCTCTACAAGCTCCAGTGAGGAATGTTACAAAAGATAAACACAGCCATTGTTCCCAAAGGTTCCCTGGGCTGGCTGCCCAGGTGAAAGGGCTGCAGCAGTTCAGTGGTGTGGGAATGCTCAGCATGGTGTGGCTTGGAGTTGGTGGTATTTTTATTTGGTTTTGAATTAAAACACAATTAATAACCCCAGTCGGGGCATGGTAGTTAAAGCGCCTTTTGGGAAGTAAAGGGAATTCTGTGTATATATTTTGGATGACCTTGAGATAGTCTGTGAGGATGAGATTGTATCAGCGGTGGCCTGCTGCTTCCTTTGCTCAGGGTGCACATCTGATAAGAGAGATTTGGTCCATCTGAAGCTCTGGGAGGAGGCTTTTTCAGCATTTATATATATTTTTGCTGCTAAAACAGATGCAGCCATATATATATATATATACACACACACACACATATAGGGCTGCATCTGTTTTAGCAGCAAAATTCAGAAGAAAACAGTATGAACATCCATTTTCAGTTCATCAATTTTATAGAGATACAATGCTGACAGTTTACTGGAGTTACTTTTTCTCACTTCTGCATTGAACTGTAGCAGAACTTTATTTGAGACTGTTTCAGTAAAATACCTAAATGTTTCTTTGAAATATCTGTGGTTATTAATATATAACCAAGTAGAGTTTATCTAACTTCTACTCTGGATCACTGTGTCTCTCAAATTGCCTGACATGATTCTGCCTATTTTAGGTGGAGTTTTTGACCAGAGGGAAACGTTTTCAGACACATCTCTCAAATAATAAATTTGTTTCTATAAAGACATTTTTCTCCAAATTTCAAAAAGTTTATTTTTGTGACTAATTAAAAAAAAAAAAAAAAAGGAAAAAAGGAAAACTTGAGAACAGACAAACATTAAGAAAACCAGACAAATTTCAGAGGTAACACATGCTCCTTATGACACTCTAAGATTTCAGATACAACACAGGGATTCAGGCTCTGGTAACAGGACTTATCCCAGCTCACTGAGGCTGTATGTGGGATGAGCAGTGAGGTACTGCAATTGTTCAGACCCTCATCTACCAGAAATTAACAGCAATTCTATAAAGTCACAGTAGCTGTGGGGGGAGGAAAAAAGGAAGTTGCAGGGAACTGGGAGCACAATGCTACTTGCCAACATCAGAGAGATACTTTGGAGTTCTTTGGGCAGTTCTCCTCCCCATCCCATCTTCTCTGCCAAGAAGGGTAAAGAGATGCCACTGCCTCGTGTAAAGCAGGCAAAAAACTACTGTTATCAGGCCATTGTCCCAGTTTTGGAGCCTCTGCACAGAAATCTAAGATGTAAACAGAGCATCCCATGTTTTCTCTGGATAAGCATTCCATAGAAAGGACTGAGCACAGAGGCAGCAAAGCCCAAGGACCCCCTCTCTCCAACACAGCAAACAGCACTTTTTTGGTAACAGGGTCCCTTTTACCCCTTGACCACAGAAAGGGAAATGCAGATGTGTGTGTGGGGCAGCACAGGGACACTGGTCATGGCCTGCCCACCCTCTGTTCTGGGCAGCAGCAGCACCTAGGCCAGCTCTGCTGCTGCCCAGGACCATCTCCCCAGTGCAGCAGTGCCAGGGTGTTCTGAGTGCCTGCCCAGATGAAGGGTCTCAGGCTGGTTTTGCAGCTCCTGCTGAGGCCAGCACTGCTCCAGCCGGGTCGCTGACTGCCTCCAAGCTGTCCCTGTGGAAGCTAGCTTGTGTTTTTCTACATTACAGGGCAGCAGCAAAAGCAAGACTACAGTGTAGACATACCTTGTATCTCTCAGACCCCAAGCGCAACTTTATTTAGACAGACAAAAAAAAAAAAATGCAAGTAGGTAAATAAAAACCAAATTTTCTGGGTGATTTTGGAGAGAGCTGCCTCGAGGGTCCGTGTTTCCTCACATGCACTCAACTAGGATACCTTCACTTTGCCTTTCTCGGGAGCTGCTTCATGGATGAGTGGCTGCTCATCGCCGTTCACCGACAGCATCCTCTTCTCGGGCGGCAGCTCCTCAGGCTGCCGGGCGATCAGCAGGCGGCAGGTGAGCAGGATCCCAAACACCAGGGCGTGGGCATAACGCTTCAGGGGGTCCCCCACGAGCTGGTGGAAGAAGAGCACGGCCAGCACCAGGAGGAGGAGCAGGAAGTTGGCCACGTCCTTGGGGCGACCGGGCACCAGTGTCATGACAATGCCGCACGCCACTTCCAGGGCACCGATGCTCTTGCGGAGGAGGATGGAGCTGACTCCCATCTTCTTGAGCATGGGCAGGGCCCGCACGTAGCTTTTGTACGCTCGTTTCTGGAACCAAGCAGCCAAGGACATCATGTGAGAAAGTGAAGGCAAAGGTGACTTCCATTGAAACAGATTGATGTGCAACACGACCTAAAAATGATTTCAATTGTCACAGACCTCTCTGGCACAATACCCAATCTGTAAAGCTTCTGTTTGGGGGTATATTAAACCATCAATCTGCAATTTCCCCTTTCTGTGCTTTTGTCTCCTCACTGGAAAACAGTTCTGCAACTTCTCATCCATCTTTGGAACTACAACCACGCCAGGTGTACCTTACCCTAAAATCTGAGGTTCTGATTGCTGGAATTAGCCATGCAGAACCCTGTTATTAAAACAAAGAAAGAAACA